CTACACACACACACACACGTACACACTACACACACACACACACACACACACACACACACACACTACACACACACACACACACACACACACACACACACACACACACACACACACACACACACACACACACACACACACACACACACACACACACACACACACACACACACACACACACACACACACACACACACTGGAATTATTAGTAAAGCTTTTCTCACAGGTATCTTCAACCTGTCTGAGTCACATCTAAAAGCAAAGGTCGCAACATAATCATCCCACTCTCCAAAATTCCCAGAGTGCACCGCTTTGTTTCAGTGAAAACGGTGCACCTGGTGAGCTAAAGCTCTCACGCTCTCTCTCTCTCTCTCTCTCTCACACACACACACACAGACACACAGACACATACACACACACACACACACACACACACACACACACACACACACACCAAAATGCTACAATGCTCATGTCTTCTACGTAACAATAAGGCATAAATGATAATGTTAATCAAACTAAGAAAGCCAGTGATCTTGCCCTCACACTATACAAAACAATTAAAAGGCATAAAGTAAAAAATCAAATGATTGTTAAAGACAGCACAACAAATCAAGCCCACGTGACTCAAACAAAACTATTAAAAGATTAAGATCCGATGCTTCAGAGTCAGGAGTGTCCGAGCAAACACAAGAGGCGTGATCTCAGATTTCTTATTTTTTGGTCTTGTCAGTTAAAAAAAAGAAAAATCGTTATTTTTGCAATAATAAAAAAAGGAGGATTTAGGGGAGTTTGATAAACACTACATTCAGTCTTGATAACATACTGGTTCAAATATAAAATATGAATATCTTACACGTGTTTATATATATATTTATATGTATAGAATTAAGAAAAGATTGTTTCTCTAATTCTTTCCTCAGATAAATATTTCAGTAACATCCTATGGTGCCGATGGCAACTGGTTCATCTTGCTAGCACATGTTCAACTCTTTAGTAACTACAAACAGCACGGAAACAGGACCGAGTCCTCGAAGACGGGGAACCAGCGACGTGAGCAGCCAGACACCCGCCCAGCTGCGAAGAGAAAGGCTTGTCCTTTGGCAAGAAGGATCTCAAAATAATATTCAAACCTGGAAATACCCCATAAATAGTAGTCCTAGAAAATAGCAGTAGTAGGTTGTCCGTTCCATGTATGGTTCCTATGTTTGGTTCATCAGTATAAACTTTGAATGGCGAGCCAGACGGTACTTATACATTCTACACTGTTCTACACACAGAAATGTCTAAAGGTGAACCTTATGTTAAGTGCTGCTGAGGTATATTCAGTCAAAGTAATTCAAAAGAAAAGAAGTACACAAGAGGAAAACATGGACAAACTTCACTGCCTACAACCTCAGCGATCTAACAACGCTGTGGTAACTCATTTTGTAGAACAATGCTACTTTTTGATGTGGGGTTCAGTTGAATGTGTAGCACATAACAGTACTCAGCCCAACACTGTGTTGAGTAAGATAATTTGGCAGGTTTTAAAACTAGTCCGCAGACAGATTTAGGGAGCAGCATATCGTTTCATAGCGTGCTGGTTCAAAAATGGCGATGCTGAGAGGGAGTGTGGTGTGTTACTGATGATCCGATTTCTCAGCATTTACAAAAAAGTGAGCCCTCCAGAGGGCAGGCCTGGTCTCACAGGGTGTATTCATAAAGCTATAGGAGAGCATGCAGGCCTCTAACCAGCTCAGCTCAGCAGCAAGTTGTTAAAGCTTGGTTTCTGTGATCCTTATCTAGCAGAACCAAATAAGGACTATCCGGTGTTAACCGAGGCAGAGAGGGAAATCATTTGTCAGCAGTGGGAAGAGTAGGGCAACTACTGAGGAAAACCACTTTGGTTCAAGCTGTTGTTTTATGGCTGAATATTAGTACAAAACCAAAAAACAGAACCTTTCCACTTTGCTTCAGAAAAGTCCAAAACTGCTACCAAAATGGCCAATAAAGATAAAGGAGAACTAAGCCATCAAATGGCTGAAGGATAACCAGGATCAGGCGTTAGGGGCGAGGCCCCGGTGATAAAAAAAACCATTCAATATTAGTAAAAACGAACATTTTCTTGTGCCCCATCCCGCCAATCCCTCTGTTTTTGGTCAGTTTGTGCTGCCAATTTTTTAAGTTGAGCGATGAGACACTTTGTCAAATTAAAAAAAAGGTCATCTTTGGAAAATGATCATCAAAATATTGCATTTCTATATTCTGTTGACAATGAAGAGAAATTCTGTACTCATAAATATATCGACTAGACTAAGCTACACCGAGTACACACAGCAATTATTTTAACAAATATTTTTGGTATATCTTAAAGTACGAAGCCAGTCGAGTGACTGCAGACAGAGAAAGACAGAATTTCATTCCTCCCCAAACGGGCAGACTGCAGCTCATCAATCCAGTTTTTTGGTACAGATACTGTGCACAAGTAGATACGACGGTACTACTATTAAGAAAATGAAAATAAAACAAAAACACAACAACCCCATCTAGCCAATGCCAGCATACATTTGGTATGATGCCCATGCCCCGACTAATCTCCCAACGACAGAGCAGTCAGCCGCAGAGCCGCGTGGATCATGCAGGAACTGAACTCTCTGTAGACAACACATGCAGACGTCTATTTCCTACCTCTGAATCCAAACGTAATGTACAGTTTTCCAATAGACCACCATCCAAAACAAATCACCCTTAAATCAGACACGGGACTGCATGTCCGCAGCTCTTTATAAAGCTTTCAACGCAATGTTTTCAGTCATTTTCTATCAGTGTCTGTAATCCGCACCGAGACGGTGATTCTACAAAAAGCTTTGGGGCTACTTCGCTCCGCAGCTAAATGTAAAACTCAGTGTTTCCAGAAAGAGAGACTCAGAGAGACACGTCTTGTCCCTCTGATCCTTAAAGCAATGATAACCTTTATATCGGCCACTTATTACTTGTTTTTAAAGCCTTATAACCACGATTAAAAATTGATAGTTAACTTAATATTAGACTTACAAAGTTCTGAAAATGTTAAAAAATACAGAAAAGAAAGGGTAAAGAAAATCTCTACAATATAACTTTGATATGATTTGCGTCAAGGCCTGTCCAAAACAACTCAAAAGAGATAATTAAAAGGTGGGGTGACACACAAAGCCCCGTTAGTGATGATGAATATTAGTAGTAAATCAGTTTGAATGTTAAAAGAGAAAAATCAAAAACGTTTTTGGTTAGAAGTGTTTCAGAGAAATTCTGACCTGGAAATAGGAGGATATATATTTATATATATACACACACACACACACACACACACACACACACACACACACACAACGTGAACAGCTTGATCGTGCCGGGGATATTTCATCCTCCCGGTCACTTTGTCAAGGTTCATGATGAGCGGCAGGCCAACAACAGCGAATGTTTGTTGGAAAAAAAACATCCAAGAATCAAAAAAGAAACAAAAATGTAAAAAGTCAACCTCAACCTCACTTGGGGTTGTTTTCTTTTTGGTGGCAGCAAAAGGATTAAATAATGATCGATACAATGGAAAGAATGTGGGGTTGGTTAGTGGAGCGCTGATCTCAGACGCCCTGACGAGAGAAACAGACGGTATGCAGCCGGGCTTCACTGAGCCTTGGAGGCAGCGGTGATGGTGGAGTTTTGCACAGGCACAGCAGCCGCGGAGGCTTGAAGGTGGGGGTCGGAGGTCAGCTGCAGCCCCCCCACCCCCGGCATCAGGCTGACTGGGTTACTGGTGAGCAGCGACAGGTTCTGGGGGTTCAGGAAGAGCGGTGTGCCGCCAGACGTGTTGGCGAACAGAAGGTTGCTGCCGTCCAGAGACGTGATGGGGATCTGACTGGAGGCCAGAGCTGAGGGGAAGACGGGGGGGGGAGGGTTTAGAGAGAGAGAGCAAAGGGGGGGAGGTCAGTCACATTGTAGTCTATTTGAAATACATAGAGTCCTGTTGTTTTATGTTAGAAATGTATAGTAAGGGTCCTCAGCACATAGAAGCTGCCGGCAGTGGCTCAGTCAGTAGGGGCTTGGACTGGGAGCTGTAGGGTCGCCGGTTCAAGTCCCTGAACAGACCTAAAATATGTTGTGTGAACTGCTACTTGGAGAGGACCCAGTTCACCTTCTGTCCTGCCGTGGTGCCCTTGAGCAAGGCACCGGACACCCCCTTTCCCCCCTCACTCCCATTGCTCCCCGGGCGCTGTACAATAGCTGCCCACTGCTCCTAGTATACTAGACTCCTGGTACTAGGATGGGTTAAATGCAGAGGACACATGTCACTGTGTGTGCTGTGTGCTCTGCATGTGTGACCATTAAAGAGGGTTTCATCCCTCCCAATTCTATTCATCTATTCTATTCTGCATGTCGGGCAATTTGCACATTTGGTTGTGAACCCCATGTTTGAGTACCCCCAAGTTTTATGTTAGAAATGTATAGTAAGGGACGGGTCCCCAGCACATAGAAACTGCCGGATGCTAACTTGCATGTTGGGCAGTTTGCACATTTGGTATAAGTTGTATTAATTAGCACATCCAGTCAACAGTTAAACAATGGCTTGGCTGATTGGGGACAATTTTTGAGGTTATTTGAAATGTAAAAATATTGAATGTTTCCAGCTTTTCAGATATTGGGATGTTTCTGCTTTGAGGACTATTACTTTCCATGTTTAATGCACATGTTCCTGGTTAAACGAACATACTGTGTTGGGTTCAAACTCAATTAAAAATAAACCCACTTTTTTTCACAGAAGTAATTTTCTCTCAGCACGATTAACCTCATGGGCGTGGCCTGATTAATTTAGCTATTAATATGCAAATGCATTGTGGGCCTCATTACATTTTGCTTTAATTATACAAACAATGGGATATCTTCATAAACCCATGGTGAATTTTAATTTCTTAATTATTTTCCTTTATAAATGCTATGAATATGTTCTTTTTGTTCTTTAAAATCACACTGGCTATTTCATTTAATGGATTCATTCATTCATCTGGTTCCTAATTAGTCATGTTTAGTATATTTATAACTGGCTTTTATTGCCTATTTTTGTGGGAAACTATCTTTGAATCCGTCATGCTACCAAGGACGATGCAGGATATCAGTAAGTGGCAATCAGCTTTTAGCAGTTAAAATAATATGCGTGTACTAAAGAGTATTCTTCTGTCTCTATAAAGACGAAACGACCCAACCCTAGTAATGTTTTCCTTCTGGAGTTGTAGCTCCATACATACCATGATCTGGGGCTGTGCTGTATGTGTATAGTATGACAAGTATGTAAATATGTGCAAAGGAATAATTAAATATACATACATTGATAAACACCTTGGATGGTAGCCAAGGTGCTGTTGCTCATGAGGGCCGGATTCAGCGCACCGCCAAGGCCTCCAGAAGTCAGACTGAGCAGGGCCCCGCTGGAAAAGGATAAATGACACGGAGAGATAAGACCCCTGAAGCTCCACAGAGGGATAATCATTGCATTAAGTGTTGGGAAAATACTGAATATACTCTTCTAATATCAGAGTAGCACATGATAACAAAAGGTCCTACGTAGCTGTGTACATGACAGGATGTATGATTACCTAGAAGAGCATCAGGACTGTTTGAGGCATATGATAGCTATGTGATTAACATGATGATTCAGCCTCTATGGAGATAGACATATGACAAGCATGATCATTTCTGACGTGGAGCTAATCTGAACTAAACATTGAATTTTTAGGTTTTGAGAAAAAAGTCAGAATTTTGATATTTTTAGAAGAAAGTCTACATTTTGAGAAAGAGAACAGGATTGAGATTTTGAGAGAAAGTCAGAATTTTGAGAGAAAGTCAGAATTTTGAGATGTTTTGAGAAAAGTCAGAATTTTGAGAAAAGTCAGAATTTTGAGATGTTTTGAAAAAAGTCAAGATTTTGAGAAAAGAAAAATCAGAATTTTTAGAAAAAGTCAGATTTTTTAGATTTTTTGAGAAAGTCAGAAATTTGAGATTTTTTGAGAAAGTCAGAATGTTGAGATTGAAAAAAAAAAAAAATTCTTTCTCCAGAATTTGGAGAAAAAGTCAGGATTTCCAGAAAAAAGCCAACATTTTGAGAAAAAACTCAGTATTGTGTACATGGATGAATGATAATAGCTATGTGATTAACATGATGATCCAGCCTCTATGGAGATAGACATATGACAAGCATGATCATTTGTGACGTGGGTCTTAGCTAATCTGAACTAAACATAGAATACTGCTTTGAACCGGTATTCCTCCATCTTGTGACTGTGTAACTCCCTCTCTTGTATATCAGCACGGGACACTGTTCAGGAACTAGTTGTACCAAATGCTCTGTATGTGATGACTACTTCCATTCTTGCAAGGATAATAAATACATGTATCCTGATTATTGAAGCTCAAGCCGTGAGTGATATTTTTCTAACATTAATATTTGAACAGAACCTGTACTAACCCAGGAGCGAACTGAGAGGAGGCCATGAGTCCCGGGTTGAGCCCCGCGGCGGCAGCAGCCATGGCGGCGAAGCTGCTGGGTAACTGAGCCTGCTGCAGCGCGGCCGAGAGACTGGAGGCCGACACCATCAGCTGACCCCCCCCCAGAGAGGCGATGGATGTGGGAGCCTGGATGATGGTGTGGCCCTTGCTCTCTGCTTTCATAGACTGAATAGTCGTTGGCGACGGGCTCAAAGATGGAGAGCAGGCTGTAGTAAATATAGGTGCAGTGGAGATGACTGATGCCGTGTTCGTGCCTTTGAGGAAGAAAACAACAGTTAGCGTTCAATGATATTATAGTGCAGTGATGAGGTAGGTGTTCCTGTGTAAGAGTCCATCTGAGAGTTTAACTGGTGTTTGGTGTCATATGATTATAAATATGGTTATATTCATAATATCTAAAAATATTCATGAAAAATTCATAAAAATTGTGTAAAAACTTTTCACAAAAATCTAACAAGATAAAGAAACCAATGTGTTTTTAGGAGTAACTTAAAATTGGTATTTATAGTATCATTCTGTAATACATATATATTAAGATATCTTTTTGCAAAATGAAACCTCGAACCTAATATTTTAAATGTGAGTCTATCACACAAATGTATATAAGATACTGTACCAATTAAATGGCGTAAAATTGTATTTCATGTATGTTTTCTTACTCTTCTGCTTCTGGATCTCTTCTTAGGTGAGATACGTGTGCAGAAAGTGAATACATGTAAAGTCGTGTAGAGGCGTTTATATTGACTCTACTGAGTCCTTTTGGATTTCAATGCATTTGAGACACAGGATGTTTACCTAGCAACACTACTGATCGTTTGTTAGGTGCACATTCTCAATAAGGCAAACACACATGGGGACCCCGTACACACCTGTGAAAGACAAATTGGCGACGCTGGTGCTGGTGAGAGGCATCATTGGGTTTACAGTCAGAGTGGTGGATGTGTTAATAGAGGGACTGTTCACAAGGCTTGCTGTGCTGGCCACCTGAGAAACAGAATAACAGAGAGACGTACATTAGTTCAGAGTGTCAACAAACAACAGCTAAAACGGATGAGATGAATCGTTTTGAATTGTAGTTTAATCCAGTGAACAAATGTGTGTAAATGATCGGATCCAGGAACAGTTAATAGACTCTGGTGTTCGTCATTACCATGGGGCTACTGGGGGTAAAGAGGGATTTAGTGGCGCCTCCTCCCATGCCGCTGCTGGGGGGGTTGATCCTCTTCTCCTTCTGCCGGCGGTTGCAGAACCAGACCCGGATCACCTCCTTCTCCATGTTGAGCTGGTCGGCGATCATGGTGATCTCTTCAGAGGTAGGTTTTTGGTTCTGCTGGAAGAGGGCAAAAAGCCAGAGAAGCCATGTGAGCACTGAGGAGTCTCGAAAACCTGATCAATATGACATTCACAAAAACGAGTCCCCACTAAATGGGCAAATATAGGTCAGCTTAAAAAAAATGTTCTTAGTTGGTTATGTTGGTCGTCGTGCGTGCGTGTGTGTGTCCTAAACAATCAGTTAGAGGTAAGGTTTTGAAGCGAAATACAAATGTAGACAACACTAAAAACATACTTCATAAATAAGCTCTAGTGTGAGTTTCTAACCTCCAGAAAGCTATTTTCTAAGGCCACTCGGATGTTGGTCTCGATGCTAGTCCTCTTCTTCCGTCTGCGGTTGATCCCCTCGATGCCCATCCCCGGGGAGCCCAGCGCGTTGGGGCTGGACAGGGACTGGTCCGATGTCAGGTTCTCTGCACAAACAGCACCGACACAAAAGACAGGAAGAGAGGTAAAGACAAGGCCCTGGAGAGATACACAACGCACTCTGCCCTGCGCGATATGTCAGGGAGACAAAGAGTATGCAGAGCGATGAGGACTAAAGTGTGTTAAGGAAATTGTGAAATCCAATGTGTTTACATTGCTAAACTTAGTTTCTCTGATTAGGTCATCTCTCTGGGAGTGAACCTTGAATGTATGTGTGGTCAACAGACGTGTTTAGGGGGCGAGGTTTTGCATGCTGTGTCTGAGGGGTATCTGTATATCCCACTGTCTTGTAGGGTGTGATGGTTTTGCATAAAGTGCCAGAGGGGGTATCAGCTGGCCTCCCCGAATGTTGTTGTAATGTAAATCTGCTTTGTGATGTCCTCTTATAAAGAGAGCCTGTTCCACTCAGAACAGTACGAGCTCTTTGGAGGAGACGTCATACTTGCAAGTATAAAGGTCCTTATTGCTTTTAATACGAATATTGTGTTGCTGTACGTTTGTTACCTAACTGATTATTCTCTCTAGACCACAGCTGATTTTAAAGCTGCTACGACAAGTGCTTCTGTGTGAGGGATTCAGGAGGGTTCAGGGACAAACCTGCATCGTTGAGCCACTTCTCCAACAATGGCTTGAGTTTGCACATGTTCTTAAAGCTCAGGTTCAAGGCCTCAAAGCGAGAAATGGTAGTTTGGCTGAAGTCGTTTCCGTACAGCTTCCCCATGGCCAGGCCAACATCCCCCTGGCAGAGAGGAGAGAGAAAGAGGAAAACATGAAACAAGAGAGTGCCAGAATCCCAATACTTTTTACCAACAGACAAATTATAATATTATTATAATCAGCGTTTCCGCCAGGTGGGCGTTTTGCCTTCATAAAAAAAAACAAAAAAAAAAACATAATTCGAGAGAAGATCGAGAGTTTTATCGCTTGAAATGACGGAAAGGAAAAAGGACAAGGACATCCCTCTGTTGGAGGGGCAAAGGAGTCTGGTGGGATTCTTTTCGGAGTATTGCTGATCGTTTCCCCGACACCGGCGGTGCTGCCACAGGACAACACGGAACGTGCGCGAATTGGACGCGATGAGTTTCGCGTTTCAAGCACCAAAATGTTTTCGGTCGAGAAGCAAGAACCGCAGAAGCCACGCTTACGTCGGAGGGGGGCGAGATTGTAAATAAAAGTTGTAACAAGCAGTAGCGCTTAGCAAAGTGACTAGAACGCAACCACACACTTATAAAAAAGAAACACACTTTCTAAAGTCAGGCAAGACTAACCAGGCTTCTTGTGATTCTGTTTATTTGTGCCTTACTTTGACCATCGTTCGCTGTTATTGATCATTGTGGAGAGCAGGCAGACGTTTTGTTTTGTATTATAGCAGCTATCGGATGGAATCAATACATGGGCTGCACAGGTTGCCATGTCCGACTATCACAAGTAGAATCATAATGAAAAATACTCTGGTAAAATGTGCCTGTAGAAAACGAGTAGTCAAGAAAGTCAGTTTAGCTTCGGTTGCTATGCTAACACCATTGTTGTTGTAGTAGTGAGCGTCGTAACGCCGTTGGGGAGAAAATCAGCAGTGGCAGCACCAGTCGGGCTCTGGGCGGTGTGAACAAAGCGGGGGCAGAAAAGAAGAACCGGTTCCGAACCAGAAAAGCTCTAGCACGGAGCTAGAACGGGGACCGCGTTGGTGTGACTCCTTCATTAGCTCCTAGGTGGAACACTAATAACATTAACTAGCCTAGCATGTAGTCATGTTGTCCCCCCATGTGCAGGAAATGTCACGGTGAACTTAAACCAAATGGACAAGGGGGAACATTCTGTTTTAAATCAGATAATTAAATCTAGAAATAGAAGTTATAACTAAGCCTTAACTCAACTTGAATGCCACAATATATTAAACTAATTAACTGTGCTATGAGAGAACACTGTTGTTCCTGTTACTTTTTTAAAAGTTTTTCATTTCTTCCTTCACTTTCTTCTCCAACCGATTAGGGGAGGGAGGAGGGTCAACTGAAAATCATACTATCACTGAAGCTGTGAGAAATACACAGAACATGACCCTCACCTGCGTGAAGCCCAGTTTGATGCGCCTCTGTTTGAAGGTCTTGGCAAACTGTTCCAGTTCCTCCAGATCGCTGGGCTCCTCCAGAGTCGGGGTGTCCAGCCGTTTGGGGGTGGTCTGACTGTGGGGCAGGGACAGGATCGGTGTGGCTGCAGTTGTGCGGGTTGGAGTGGCAGGCTGAAGAAATAAGCAAAATATAAAAATGTATTTGTTATTAAGGCAAAGTCAGCAAAGGGGAGAAAGTATTACAAAATGACACCTAGCTATAAAAGTTTGCTTCGTAGTTAGATTTGATTCAAACAGCTGGAATAAAGCAGATCCACGTATTTCAGAGTTTTCTTGCGTCATTACGAACCTGAGTTGTGAGGGTGATGCTTGGTTGAGTCGTCAGGAGGTTAGCTTGGCTTTGAGGTAGTTGATTTAGAAGACTCTGGGCTTGCATTAGGCCTACAGCGTGAAATACGTGAGAGTTAAGATACACGCATTGAAATATTCTTCCGTAACAATCAAATATTGGATTTGCCTCCTTTCTTAATTCTGCATGTGAGTGTGTTTCCTCACCCTGTTGGGTATGCGGTGTCTGTGAGATGATGAACTGCGTGGGCTGCAGCTGCGTGGCAATCGGGTGGCCGGGCTGCAGCAGGACAAACTGCGGCATGCTGAGATTCTGCGGCTGCAGCTGCTGGCAGAAAACACAAACTAATGATCAGTAAACTCACAGATAAATAAGCTTTTTATAACAGTTTATGCTTTGCAGATAGATGTTCCAACATATCTTAAGTTGGACTATGGCCATCAATTACAATATTGTAATTTCATACTAAAGAGCAGGGTATATTATTTATGCCAATCATTTAGATATACCAACCCATGTTGAATACAAATTAATACTTTATTATACTTATTTATATAAATAGTTATCCACGCAATAAACCGTATTTAATTTTGTCTTAATTTACATAATTGTATTTCATATTCTGTTCTTGTACATATCATATATTCTATTTACATGTATATAGACTTTTTGCACTACTTTTTATTTTGTATTTTATTATATACAGTTGCAAGAAAAAGTATGTGAACCCTTTGGAACTTCCTGGATTTCTGCATAAATTGGTCATAAAATGTGTTCTGATCTTCATCTAAGTCACAACAATAGACAAACACAGTCTGCTTAAGCTAAAACCACACAAACAATTATATGTTGTTATGTTTTTATTGAACACACCATGTAAACATTCACAGTGCAGGGTGGAAAAAGTATGTGAACCCTTGGATTGAATAACTGGTTGACCCTCCTTTGGCAGCAATAACCTCAACCAAACGTTTCCTATAGTTGCATATCAGACCTGCACAACGGTCAGGAGGAGTTTTGGACCATTCCTCTTTACAAAACTGTTTCAGTTCAGCAATATTCTTGGGATGTCTGGTGTGAATCGCTCTCTTGAGGTCATGCCACAGCATCTCAATTGGGTTGAGGTCAGGACTCTGACTGGGCCACTCCAGAAGGCCTATTTTCTTCTGTTGAAGCCATTCTGTTGTTGATTTACTTCTGTGCTTTGGGTCNTCCAGCAGGAAAAGCTGGAGGCCGGAAAAGAGTGAGACAGGTAGCGCGCAAAAGTAAAAGTGGAACCGAGAGTGGTGCGAGAGACAGAACGAGAGCAAGACAGACAGACATTACGAGAGCGAGACAGTTTGTCCCCGTACCACTGGTTGAAAACCGCTGCTGTAGATCACTGCCGGTACGTGCGCTGGGAGCGCACCGTTTAAGTTTGAAAGTTGAAAAGTTTGTGTGTCTGAAACGCTATGTGATACAGTACAGTTTACACAGCACATGTTCTGTAGCTACTATTGCACTAAATGCTAACACTTGAATACGTTATGCAAATATGCAACTTGTTTGTTGAAATGTTAATAAATGGGAGCTTCCTCAAACAGCCATCTCTTTCCCGACAATCCCCTCTGTGCACGAACTCTTACATATGGTAATTAAATATTAAAACACCTGCGGCTTATAGTCCAGTGCGGCTTATATATGTACACATCATTCAATTTAGCTGCTGCGGCTTATATTCAGGTGCGCCTTATAGTCCGAAAATTACGGTACTTAATCAATCTCTCTTAACCCTATGTAAACCAAATAAATGACCAATCAAGTACTGGAGGAATTTGGGGTTAAATATCTTGCCCAATGACCTTGGCTTGGGGTCAAACCACTAACCGTCTAATTGGTAGATGATCATTAACCCCCTGAGCAACAACAGCCCAAAGTTCAGGATAAGCAATTTCCAGAGAATGTACATCTATAAATAAGTCAGCTTCATTCAAAACATTTCGGGACAAGTTCTCAAACAGGAAGTTAAGTTGATATCAGGGTTCATACACTTTTTCCACCAATGATTTTCAATGACTTCGCCAAGACCTTTACCTAATTTTCCATGACCAAAAAAATTACTCTTTCTCAGCGGTACCACTGAAACATTTTGATTTTAACATGGAACAGGAAAATAAGGTCTGAAACATGTTGTGCCTATCTAAAACAAATCAAATAGCAGGCTGACTAGCTTCTACAGACTAAAGCAACTCAAATCTCACACCAGCAGTTAAATGCCATTTTACGTTTCATTACTATACAGTATGTATTATCATTATAGTATTACTATTTTGGCGATCAGATCAAATATAAATTATATTTGATGCAACTTTAGTTACATTTCCATGACTTTTCCAAAACTTTGGGAAAAATATTGTTTTCCAAAACTTTTCCAGGGCCTGGAATTAGCACTTTGTATTTCCATGACTTTTCCAGGTTTTTAATGACCGTAAGAACCCTGTGATATATTTGCAGAAACACGTGTGATAGTGACTTACAGAGGCGATCTGGATAGGCTGGGACAGCTGGGTAATGGGCGTGGCTGCCTGCGCCGAGATGCTGGCCCCGGTGGTGCTGTTCTGCTGGTTGGCCGACTGCTGCATGGCGGCGGCCAGGAGCTGAGCCTGAGCCTGCTGGATCAACATCTGCTGCTGCGCCGGGGTCAGGGTCAACTGAGGGACAGGGAGAGAGAGAGGGACCATGGAGGGCAGGGAGAGGGAGAGAGAGGGACCATAGAGGGCAGAGAGAGGGGTAACAGAGAGATAGAGGAAGTAGAGAAAGTAGCGTTTAGGCAAATCAGTTTTATCTTCTGTTATAGAGATCTTTTGAGTTAGTGTTGTCACAATACTTGAGTTTTGGTTGTGATACCCATAAAAAGGGAATTTTAATGAAAGGATTGCTATGGCAGCACAACAGTAGGACGGCACTATATATATATATTTGATTAACTTGCACAATAAACAGATTGTGAGATACTGTGATATTGCACAAGGTTTTTTTTTATAGAAACGTAACTGCCATTCTTTTTTATTAGTGACTTTTGTGTTAATAAAAGAAGATTTTAAATAATTTTGAATGAAGGATATTTTAGCAGTACGGTAGAAGCAGCAAAAAAGCTGAACAAAGTACATTTTCACAACTGTTTAATTTTTTTTGGGTGTAATTCTTATATCAATATTCAACGACTTTATTGCATATTTGACTCATATTGCTCTACACAGCCGGACACTACAAAGACGTGTGCTGCTTAAGATGTGTGACACGTCATGCCACTTGAAATGTTGGAAAGGACTGCCTTCATTAGATTCAATCAAATGTTCTCATCATTTATCCATGCTTTGCTTCAGTTTTCCAAGCCTTTGATGCTGTTGCCAAATCTACTTTAACGTCATGAACCGCAGCTCTGCATAGTCGGATTTCTCCTTTGCTTTGTTATTCCAATATGTATGAACACAGACACCTTTACAGATGCTACTGAAGTGGAAAAATCATGCTAAATAAATCACATTTAAGTTTTGAGAGTTTCTTAAATGTTCTCTAATTGAATTGCTCTCAAAAAAGGTATCAAAGTCATGAAACTGTCAGTATTGTAGCAACACTAACATGAGCCCTGACAGGCAAATGGAGATTGGACTCATGCAGCTGAGCGGGAGCAAAAGTGCAATGTTGATGTCATGTTCAAACTCAAATCCACATGCATAGCAGCTGCTTCACTACAGTAGGTCCTCAGGGAGAACATGGATGGATATGAAATGTGTCGTGTGGTTAACCTGACCATGAGTGTACAAACACATCAATACTATGTCCAAACCCATCCGTCCATTTTCTGTAATGGAAGAGTTTGGACATAGCCTCACAATCACGGGATGAACAAGCAGGCGCAGAATCAGGGCAAGCAACCATATTTGCACCCAGCCTCTCAGCCAGGGTTGACCATGTTTAATTGTATGACTATGTTTGAACTCAAAGCAATGAGGCAAAAGGCCACTTACTCCTGCAATCTGTCCCCCGGCCAACACTAGCTGGGTTTGAGGCAAAACGCTCTGCTGGACGGAGGTCGGAAGAGCACTGGGGTCTTCCGACTTAGACTAGTGGAGGTGAAGCAAAGAGGAAGGCTTAGAGGAAATCTTCCTACAGGTGTTCACAGCACGAGGTAGTCTCTTAAATTTAACATCATTGTTGTTGTTGTTGTTATTATTAAAAACCAACAAGATATAAAACACTTGAAAGCATGTTTAATTCAGACCAAAAAGAACAGTTTGAATCAAATAAAAGCACAACAATTGAAAAACAATGAAACATGTCATGTCTGTGCTACCTGAGAGTGAGTCTTCAGTCTTTGAGCAGGCATAGGAATTTGAATAAAATAGTTATTGTGAAAGTTGCTATTTAAATGTGCTGCAGCCTTCAGAGACAGGAAAAGTGAATGGGAAAGGAGGGGAGAGTTGAGATGCTAATTAAAATAACCGTTATGCAGTGCATGTCAATTCTGCATAGATTTGCATATTCTCTGCCATCTGTTTCCGAGCAACCGCAGAGCAGCTAATTAGCATACAGGGTTGATTAATCTGCCGTGTTGCCAGGCGACACAAGCAGAGCCTGGCTCATTTAAATGAGCTCATTTGGCTCGTGCAGAGGAGCAAACCTCTGGGAAAACATCACACCTCATTTCATTGTGAAACTACAATTAAGATGTGCGACTACACTAAAACACTACATCTGATTATTTCACGTAAAAACTAAAAAAAGTTTCTGAAAGACAGTGATGATGTGTTACCTGTTGGAGGAGGGCTTGTGCGTGTGCGTTAGTGAGAGGCATCGCCTGCCTCTGAAAGTCGAACCCATTGATTTGGATTCCTGAGGAGAAGAAATGAAGTTAATGAAAGGAGCGGTCGGAGGAACAGAGAAGATTGTGTTCCAACTGGTGACTTTATATACGCTGTTGCTGGTTTAACACAAAAAAGAGGAACGTAATAGTCAAAACCCACAGTGAAAATGCAGAAGAATATTTGAAAATGACATCAAATGTGATCCGAATTAGTAACAGAGAAATACATAACAGTATGAGTTTGCAGAATCCATATTGACATTATTAAACATATACAATATACAAATGAGAAATGACTGAATGGTGTTCACTCCGAGTTGATAAACGTATCACAGTCACTGAAGCACAGCGACGGAGCTAATTAGTGTGATATTCAAATGAGGGGAACTGCTCTGTGAGGTAAACACTTCATTTGACAAAGAAGACCGCTAACAAGGCTTTTGGAAAGCTGCCATGTCTTTTCTTTTTAATGAGTCAATAATACAAAAGGTGGACAGCTTTTTTTTTTTAAATGTTAATTTAGGCTGTGGGTTTGAAACCTGTTGAATGAGGAGGTAAATATCCTGCATTTCAATCCAGTTAATAACAAAAAGAGAAAAAGGAAGAAGCTGGAGGTCACTCACCGGTGTTCCCGTCACCACTTTCCATTGCACATTTAGTAGTTTCTGACTGATTATTCACTTTAGCATCTGGAAGAGCCAGACAGAGACAGACAGTGAGACAAACTCACACCCACTGCCGGTGAAAACATAACAACCATGTCTGGATGATTTCAGGAGCCCTGTGGCATCGTCAACTGATTATATACATCCTATAAATGCATGACATTCCTACTCTGCAGTAACATTTCTGTCACATGGCACTACTCTAGACCAACACAATGACTGACGATAAACTCTTACAAGTCAAATGTAACGCAAAAGGTGGTGCGAGATCAACCTTTCCCGTTTCACATAAGGACGCCCAACAACAAATCCCAGCTGAGCTCCATCACAACCGCACCAAAGAACTCACCCGCTCTTGCTCCACCTGTGTTTTCCAGCATGGTCGCGGAGCCTATCGTGGAAAATGTGCTTCTGCCGGGCAAACACACCACCAACAGGGCGTCCGGCTCTGAGTTCCTCCTCCCTCTCTTCACTCTCCACTGGTCAGCAGCGGGTTCAATACAAGCGGGGCGACTACAGACACAGTGGCACTGTCCGCCGCACGGTTCACTGAACAACACTGGGATACGCACACTGGGAAAGCCAACAGGGTTTAGGCAAACAGCTTCTCTCTTTGCACTCTCTTTATTTTCTTATAGCTCTGCCCCTCTCTGTTTTTTTCAAACCAGTGCCTACTTTGCACCCGCTCTCTTTTTTCCCTCCCTCTCTCTCTCTCCCTTGCCAAGATTGTCTGTACTTATGAAAAAGTTCAACCTCTCCCTCTTGCTGGAATGAAACAAACGACAAGTGCAGCTGGCGGCCTCCTCTAACTCTGCTGCCCCCCCCCCACCCCACCCGGCTCTATAATGAAGCATAATCAGTATTCAGCTGATTAAAGCCGTATGCAAATCTGCCTCTGCCTCGTTAGCAATGCAAGGCTTTGAAGTCCTGCGAGCGACGCATTTCACACCGAGCTCTGAAAGCTTTCTGCATAATTTAAACCCCTATAAATATTTATCATCTCATTAGCATATTAATTGGATGGCTTTTGGAGGACGATAAAAAAACAGGGGAATAAGGACGACACAGAGAGGGGAATGAAAAAGGGCTCAAACTAGCACTTGGCGCAGCGCAGGGAGGCAGCAGCACAAGACCAATTATAAAGCGGGTGCACGGCTCAAAAAGTAATTAGCTAAGAGCAGGTAAAAGGGCCGGAGATATCCCAGAATGCAATGTGAGGCCTGTCGGCGGTGGTCAGGACATGTTAGCAAGGCGGACCGTATTAAAAGAATGTCCAAGACTCGTTCGATGTATCTCCAGGAGTCATGGGCCTAACTGCAAAAAAAAAGGGGGGTCTGGGGAAGGAGTGGGAGGAGGACTCGCTCAATCGGAAATAAATAACTCCACATTAATCCACCGCAAGCCTGTCATTACTGCTAGACCCCCTGTGGCTAAAGCATTCCTGAGCGAGCGACTACAGAGAGTGGGTGGCGGGCTGTTGCTGTCCATGTTTATGAAGTGTTTGGGGATTAGCATATTTAGATTAGCTTTTACATGCAATTAGTATTTCACGTTGGAGCGCTTCTGCATTCATTTCCAGGATGCTTTAGGAGTTTTAACGGCGGGGATGTAGACCTGCGATGGAGCTGCACAGGTGTCCAGTGAATCAGAATGACTGGACAGGAATGCATGGATGTATTAGGGTTTGCAGGGGGGGGGGGGCTTACCAACTAAATCCACATCAACTGCTCCTGCAAAAAGCTCTGATCAACCTCTTCACTTAACCCGCTGCCTGCTGAAAGGCATTTAAATGCTGACCTGATCGAACAACGGCAAGAGGGCACGGTAGCGTTGAAAAACAAACAGACCCTTCATCAGCAGGGTGACAGCATGAGGGACGAGGCTTCAGGCACTCGGCAATGTTTTCAGCCTTTTTGTAAACATCAGCGTGCTTTTAGGACGAGTTATCACTAAAGCAGTAGTGCCTTATTTTTGTATGAAGTACTCCTCCTTCAACATGCTTTATCAGGTTGCAAATGGTATCTAACATTACTAAATAGGGCTGCAACTAGTCTGCCTGTCTTGTCTATAACCTTTCAGAAAATAGCGACACATGCCCCAGCGTGTATACAGGCAGGGGAACAATGCTAGTTTTTCACCACAAAAAGTCCAAAACCATACACCGAGTCATCACAGACGATCTTCACAATTGAGAAACGGAAACCAATTCATATTTTTGCAAAAATAATGATATAAAGTACACTAGTTGTTGATGACTTTTCTGTCTATCATTTCTCCACTAACTTTTACAGATCTACAAATAATTACATAAATGTGGGTATTGTTTCTAATGTATGTGTTTAAATCCCTTTGTCCATCCTCCTTTAACCTCAAAAACATAGTTATTGATTAGGGCTGCAACAACAAATATTTAAAAATATTCATTATTCTCCTGGTAATTTTTGTTGAGATCACCAGGAACCTAGCAAAACCCAAGATGAAGCCTTGTTTTGTCTGATCAAAAGGTCCAAAACCCAACTATATTCACTTTCCTTAGATATACTTCAAAGTAAAGCTGTTTAATCCTCACATTTAGAAACTTCTCCTTCAAAAGAACCCATGTTTGCCCTTAAGCCCTTAACAACAAATGGACACTACACTATATTATACAACTCTCTCCTGTTGTTCTCTTCAAACATCCCAGTGTTTGGTTAAAACCCAGCTGGACTTTAAAGCATCCCTCCAACAATCATATCATGCCAACAAATGAATAAACAAAAGGGATGTGAATGCAGAGGCAGTCATCAGCAGTGCACTTCAACACATGTACGACTACTTGGTTGAACGGTTTGCAAAACCCTGCTGTGGAACAATGCATTACACAAATATCCTGCGAAGAGAATTTTAAATAGCTCCCTCATTAGCGCTGTAATATGGGAAGGCTGGCTGAATACCGCAGAGCAGTTAATGTGAGCGCGGAGATTCAACATGAGACAGAGCAAAACTTAATTAGAACATCCACATTCAGCCCTAGCACCTACATTCCTCATCTTAAACTCAGAATACATAAAGACCACTTTTACAAACCTAGACCACTTGGCACACTAAGCAGAAATTGAAACGATCGGCATGTATGATCACGACAGATAATCCTTCAATTTAAGGGACCTAATAATCAAACGGCCTAAATATTCATGGTTTAAACTGGAGTAACATGAATATTGAACATAGCTTTTATTACAAGTAATAAACAAATGTTGTGTGCCTACAGATAGTACAGCAGCTACACTGGACTAAGGCCACAAGTGAACAGAATACAGTGCAGTGTAATTTGATAAGGGGTAATGCGGCTAACACCACTGTAAGCTCCTGCGGTATCTCTTGGGTGGTCATTAGCCAACTGTCTATAGACTTTGTGGAAAATTCAATCTAACTTAATTAAATGAAAGTTTCTGGAGGGTGGTGGTGGGGATATTCAACTACTTCAAAATAGCCCAGGCAGAGGCTGAATTTGCACATATATTCACAAACCTAAGAAAGTGATATTATTAGCATAAACTGCTGGATATTTGTTTGGTGTATGAACACTTTCTTGTAATATTTTTACCATACACTCTTACGCTGTCTACTGGAAGAATCACCAACTTTCACTTCATCAGCTCCACAATTCTTATTATGCTGAATATATGTAAAGCATGTGTCTGAAACATAAAGGCATTTCATGAAATTCTGGCAAATGTTTTCCAGTGATCTAAATAATGACAGAAACACGAGAGTCATCAGGAACAACATGCCAATTGTTGCTTGGAATGCATCGACCAATCATAAGCTCCGCTCTGTCTACTGTTCCTGAAAGCCCAATTTGTAGATTATCTGCTGTACCCTCACTTGTACCTATATGTTTTTCCTAAATAAAAAAGGTTGTATGTAACTCTTCCAAATACTTTCATATAACCAGACATGTAAGTACGTTTTTACTTTTTGGAAAAAAGGCAAATCTTCTCTCATTTCGGCACTTTACTACAGATCACCAGGAACAAACCGTTATCTGTCTAGAGCACAACACACAGCTCTGATTAGTTATGATTTCTTCCTCCACAGTGGAAAACTTGTCTGACTGGAGCCTTCATGGAGGCCTTCTCTGTACTTTGAGACGGCATGTCCTGAATTTATTACTCAAATTATGCATTATTCATAACAACTGTGTTTACATCAATGAATATTCATGATGGAACTACAAGGCTACAATGAGGGTGGAACTGAAAAACTGATTAAATGAGAAAAGTAGCCTAAGTGTGAGGATGACAGAATTATTTCTCGTCTGTTCTTTAAAGTAGCCCAGTTTAATAACACTTTTTCCAGAGAGTGGAAGTAATTCCTGATATGCCAATATGGCTTTGAATATGGGAAATACATTTAGTATCAGGCCTACGCATGCAACTACCAATTATTTTCATTTTCAATTGGATCTGCTGATTTTAAAATGGCAATCACAACTTAACCTAAGAGAGCCAAACATGTCCTCTTTAAAAGTGTCTTGTTTTATTTGACTAAAAGGCTACCCAAAATATTGTATTATTCACACTAACATAATAACAAAGAAAAGTAGGAACCCTGCTGATTTGAGAGGCTGAAATCAGAATGGCTTGAAAATATCTAAAACTATTAAATTCACAATAAAAATAAATGCTTATCGTTTTCTTTATTTATCAACTAATCGTTTAGAACCATCATGACTGTCTAGTAACATATAGCATATCATAAAATGGCCTGTAATGTGATACTGTTATTACTAAAGTTTAGACTTTACAAATGTATCTTGTGATGTGTCAGAAAAATGCAGACAGGGTATGAATAAATATTTGAATGTGATTCGCATTACTAGAGAAATGCAATCTTAAACACCCGTAGGGCATGAGACATCAAGTTGATTGCTATTATTAAAACATATGAAACTGCAGTTCCATTTAATCATTTTTTAAATTGCATAGGCAGTTCTGTCACAACTGCATAAACTATATTCGTAAAAGATTACAACAGAGAAAAATAAACAACATTGTTTGAGCCAATTATTACTGTTGAATCACTATTTGGTAAGGACGCCTTTAGAGCTGCCTTTTGTGTAAAGATAATCTTAACTGTGGAGTAAAATGTTTACGTATACTGCAGTACTACATAATTATTGTGTTTCATCTTGTACTATTTTACATATTACAATATTATATTTTTTTTGTTCGCTGCGCATGTTTGTCAGGTATATTATGGATTAACTACAGGCCTGATTTTCATGAAACTAATACTTTTTTACTTTAATTATCATGGCCAGATAGGGCATGGCTTTGGCGGAGAACTCTATCTCTGTAACAACCTAGTTTTGTATATTATATACCTCTTATGGTTAAATGTTTACTTTTATATGTTTTACATTTGCATATTATTTGCCTCTTATTGTTTAACTTTATATGTACCGGTGTTGTCTTTTTGCTGCTGTAACAACCACAAGGTTATAAAAAGGTTTGTCTTATCTTAAAATGGAAAAGCCCATCCCCTGTAGAGTTGCTACAAAACACTGCTTCTTTAAAAACGAAGTAAATGGCAAAGTGAACTGCACAAAGAAAGAAAAAAAAGTGCCATCAAGCTGTGTCTTGCCCGGCCATGAAACCGGCAGAGAGAATAGTGAGTGCCTGTTATTATTGTGGCTTTCCGGAAGTGGGCCTCATACCCCTCCCTGTGCCTTGGGGGGGATACACAGGTACAACCTTTGTTTTCAGCAGACACACTCGGTCAAAACTACTGAAACAACGAGGGGCAGACCAGAAAATCTCCAACTTTTGCTTCCATTAGCTCCACAATTATTATTATTATCCTGAATATTTGAAAGCATGTGTATGTATTATAAAGGCATATGCATCCACCAACCATAACCTCCCCCCTGCCTACTCTTTACTGAAAGCCCCTCATTCTGTAGATTATCTGCGTCACCCTCACTTTTACCTTTAGGTTTCCCCCCCCAAAAAAGAAGGGTTTTCATTTGTGTACCTCTTCGAAATGCTTATTTATAACCAGATGATATGCAAGTGTGTTTTTAATTTTTCGAAAAATAAAATTGGGCATCTTATCATAAAAGACGCACTTCTTAAAAACTGCACAGTCAAAAGCAGTGAAAAGTTGTAGGAAAATAAATTAAATATTCTAATGCGATGGATTTACAGTTAACCTCCAAAATAACGTTACTCCCACTTCACGTGAAGAAGTGTACGGCCCAACTTCAAACAAACTACTAGCAACTTAAACTCTAGCAAGGTGAGAAACACTACAGAGCAACCCTAATAACATCGTTTTTAAAAAGCTAACAATGAGAATTGTTTTTATTTGTAGTTGATTTAGACTCAAGCCAAGTTAGCTGCTAAACGACTGGACCAAGTTAGAGGAGGTAGCCAGTTAGCCGTTGCGATGAGAACCAGCGTTTTAACAGACGAAGCCACATTTTACAAGCAGTTAAGTAAATATTGATAGTATGTGTTCTGTTGACATGCTGGTTATTGTGGCGCATACGCAGCATAAGCTCCGGGTCCTCGTCGGTCGATGGGACATGCTTTAGTCCGCTCTGGGGCTCCGGCAGGCCCGCATGAATAACACAACAGGCTGCGCCGAGCACACAAAAGACTGAGGGCAAAAACTGCTTTAAAAAAAGCTAAAAACAGGTCGAGCTCAACCACACCGAGCTGACATCGTGTAATCAACAACAACAACAAAAAACACATGTTCGATCCTTTTTTTAATTTATTCCCTCCAGTTGAAAACAAACAGCCACTGAATCACTGGAGAAATGAATATGCAAACCCGGATCAAAACCTCCCCATCAACACAAAGCCAAGCGTTAGCATTCGAGCTAACGTTAGCCTGCTAGCATCCTCCCATCAACACAAAGCCAACCGTTAGCAACCGAGCTAACGTTAGCCTGCTAGCATCCTCATTTCCATCAGATTGCGAGAGAGAAAACAGTCTAAATATGTCATATATGAAACCAGAGGCTCTTCGGCGATTACTAATAAAATATGCTAAATTGTATTTGTCGACAGAGGTATGAATATGTAGGGACGTACGGCCGTCTAATCACACAAAGGGGGGAGGCATGTTTCCATGTAATTTTACCGTCGCACTGCTATAGCTCGTTTCCTCCTCTGTCAAATTACTCTGTGTTAAACTGCAATATATCTGAATATCATCCTCCTTCCTAAATCCATCTGCAATTCATCTGCACTCCGTTTATCACAGATTGTGAGTATCACAGTTTGAATATGAGTATGAATATGTAAAATGCTGTAATCATTACCTGGTCCTGAACTCTCATCTTGACTCGCTGCTCCTCCGTCCGCCATTTTGAATATTTAACCCGAAATCCCAGCGCTGAGCCTACCAGCAGCAGCGCCATACACACACACAGACAAACACACACCCACACAAACACACGCGCGCGCACACACACACACACACACACACACACACACACACACACACACACACACACACACACACACACACACACAAAAAGTACCCCACACTGAAGATACAACATTTAAAGTAAAAGTACTGCATTGAGAATAGTAGGCTATCTGAAAAGTAAAAAAGTAAAGTATCTGAGTAGGCCTACCATAAGAACAATTGCAGTACGGGTACAAGTTCTCATTGCAAATCATATTTAAATATTTTGGAGCCAAAACAGCCAATCTTCACATGCAAAATGTGCTCACACGTGCATAGGAACATACTTGAGTGGAGTGTGTGTGGGGTGTTATTCTCTGTTGCTTATTTACATATCTAAATAATCAGCTCTTCTTGCACTATGAATTTGCACTGAAAAGGTCATGGATGGGCGGATCTGCAATACAGTGCACATGAAGCCTTCTGTTTGTCTTTGGCAATAACAATAAAGCCAACTAAAACTTTAACAACTTTTAAAGACATTTTTTTTTAGAGGCATAGGCCTACATTGAATTGACATAACCTGGTAGTCTGTTAAAGTCAGATATAATATTAAAGCCAGGAAAGGTTATAAGCTAATCTTTACCAAAAAGAAAGTATACATGCAAAGTTACACATGCATGATGCATAACAACACTGATCGGAGCTTTATTTGGGGCTTGAAATCAAGTTGTCTATATACTAACTTAACTAAACATCTCAAAATGCGTACATCAAAAACCCTTGTACCTTGTATGTGTGTCATTATCTTTATCTATGATTGTGATGCAGACATTCAGACATGAAAAACAGAACACATATGAGTGATAAGCTAATTGTATATCCAAATAGCAGTATTCCTCAAGATGCATAAAAACTGACTTGAAATCTAGGTGCAACAGCAATTGTTGTTGGACAGTGATTTTGAAAGGTTATTTCCAAAAAGTGCTTAATACAAAAAGCACAATGCAGTTTAGAATAATTGCTGTAGCCCAATCAAGGTCAAACATTTCTGTTTAATGTTGAAATCTTACAATCTTAGTATGGATATACTGCATGCTCATAGATGTCCAGCAACCAATTAATATTGTTAAACATCCACCCTGAAAAGAGAAGAAAAAATTAAACAATAGTCACACATGTCCATGACCTCTCCTTGACCAGAAAAGGGAAATGTCACTTCTCTAATATGAAGGGATGCGAAGTGGGGACACATTTCCTTTTATCCCCGCCACTTCCTGCATTTTGCACATTAATCTGCACAGATATACCAAAATAACCCATTACATTACATCTACTTCCTTTATTCTCTCATCATGTGTGCAGATTAATAAACAGGTCACAGGTGTTACGTGCATTGTAAAGGCCTGCACCTGTGTTTTGCTTGTGCTCCTCACATATATATTCATTAATGCAAAAGTCCATAACATAAATATAAAAATTACTCATAGAAAACCTGTTGCCGGTCCCAGTATAAGATTATGAATCGGTCTATAGTGAAGTTTTGTGCAGTGTACTTAATGGAAGGCCACAGTGCACACACAGCGCTCAGAGGGGTTAATAGGGGCCCGAATGATAACGTTTTCCCCGGGGCCTTCAAAAGGTTAATCCGCCGTGCTCAGCTCGAGAGAGTCTGCTAATTAATTTTCAAACGCTGAATTGATTGAAAGAAAATGGTACCTGTAACAGCAGGAAAAATAGACACAATATCTAAACCTGTACAACTGTAAATTAAGTGTGATTAAATGTTTTGTGTAGTCTTTTGATTGACCAACCAAGATGTTTTCCGTATAAATATCTATATTTTTTAACATCCTGCATGACATATTGAACATATTTTCGTATTGTTTTAGTATCTTCTTCATATTCTGACTGAATATTATTAGGTATGTTTAATTTTTTTGACCGTTCATTTTCTTTTTTGTCATCTTAATATCTTTATTGCATACAACAAACACTGAGGCATACTCCTCCTAATTGAAAACCTATTTGGCCAAAAACCTTATTATTATTATTATTATTATTATTATAGTGTACACTATACATTTCCTCTACAATTTGTTTCAATATTTGCTTTCACTTTTCCATTTTATTTTCTCTCACTGACTGTGTTCAAACAACCACCAAATTAAATTATCTTTATTTGAAAAAGTTCTGGGCAATGAACCAAATTCTGATTAAACTTAAGATTCGGGTTAACTTAACACCTCAGCCTTTCAAACAACATGGATCAAAGGTCAACAGATGTTTAATTACATCTGTGAGTTGTTGTATTGTTTACTTTATGCTATAATGGAATTAGAGGTTAACTTTTTGTATCACCCCTATTTTAACAGTCTTTGAGTTTGCAACATAGTGGTCAGTGCAACACTGCCACCTGCAGGTCAAACTGAGTAGAGCAGTACCACATACAACACAATGTAACTTCCAATGAAATGTTGAGAAACAGTCACTGATTTTGATCAGTTAAATTATATATTTAGAATTTTCTTGTTTTTAAATGATTTATTTACTGATTTAGTTTGACATTCAATGGTTAGCATTCCTAAAAGCATTTTCTTTACTTCCAAAAACTCACTTTCCAAAATGTTTGTATCTATCTACCTATCTACCTATCTACTTATCTATATATCTATCTATCTATCTATCTATCTATCTATCTATCTATCTATCTATCTATCTATCTATCCATCCATCTATCTACCTACCTATCTATCTATCCATCCATCTATCTATCTATCTATCTATCCATCTGTTTTTTTCAAAAACACATTTTATTATTGGAGGTTTTTGTTGTAGTCCCATCAGAATCACATACATATATAGAAGTCAGATTTATTTAAGGGGTTGGCAGGTCAATGATTGGCCCTCTGGAGACATGTGACCTGCAGTTGTTAATATATTACCTGGAAAGGTCCACTTCTCTACGCCTTGGAGTTCACCGTGAAGGTTAGACGGGCTCTTGCTCTTGGACTTAAAGCATCAGTTTCAGATTTTCTACTTGTTGGATATTTTCATCCTCTTTCAGAAATGATTACAAACAAGGAGTTTGGATGGCGAAAGCTTTTTCTGATACTCACAGGTAGGATTTATGCTTTTAATCTTTCTCTTTTTGATAAACCTCTGCCACACCTTAAGCTATTATCACCTGTGTTAATCATTAACCCAACTTCTTGCCATACTCAACAGGAAGCAGAGTGTGTGTTCACCTTAAAAGGTGTTAAAACCATACATATTTGCCATGTAAGAAACATATTGTATCTTATATTTGGTGAAACTAACATGACGTTTGTTTTTTATAGTCAATCTTATCCTACCAATGTTTCTCTACGAATTTAGCAAAAGCAGAGAATGGAGGCGGAAGTACTCTTTCACTTGTTCACTGCACTTTTAATTCAAGCACAAAATATGAGTATCAAAATACACTTAGAGTAACATGCTTAAAAGTATTGATTATGTAAAATGGCCCCATTTGTATGCTGAATTATAATTAGTGAAGCATTAATGTGTATTTTATTGTGCAGCTGCTAAAGGCAAAGCTAATGTGAATCACATTATATAGACTACTGCTGGGAACCTTAACCGATAATACATCACAATGCATTTGTTTTATTAATTTAAACTTGCAAACTAACTTTTAAACTATCAAAAACCTTTAAACTAGCCTAAGTGTATACATCAAAATAATTTGTATACAAAATATTGTGTCGAAGAACTATAAAGTACCATTAAATGGGAATACTCAAGTACCTCAAAAGTGTACAGTACTAGATTAAATGAAAAAATATCAAAGTCAACTTTATTGTCAATCTTTCAGTTTGTGTGTACAGACAGAGAGATCGTTTCCCACAATCCAGAATACAAAAAAATATGTAAAATATGTATACCCAATACAAAATTAACAGAAACATGTATACCTATGCACACATTAAGACATAAATAAAAGCAAAACAATCAATATATACAAAATAACAGTCACTTCAATATCTTGGGAAATGTACATTAGTGCAAGATTGTCCATAGCAGCGTAAAACTGAAATATCTGTCATGATGTATTTATTTTTGTTTCAGTACTTCCCTGCTGCAGGAGTTTGCAGGTTTCTATTCCAGAGAGAGAATATGAGGCAGCGAGTGGAGGAGAAGTCACCATGACCTGCTCATACACCCCCGCCCGACCTGTCACCAACACACTCATCATCACATGGGAAGCCTACCCTGAAAACGACGGAGAACCAATGGTGAGAGGCATGCAAAAATCAATGAATTATGAATAAAACATTTTGTGGTGAGGTATACTAAAGGGGAACTCCACATTGGACAAATAAAGATCAGATTACTCATGATGATTAATCATAGCCTGTGAACAAATAATGTCTAACGTTTCATTGCAGCTATCTTCCGGCTTTGGCTATGAGAGTAATAAATGATATCAGAAATTAAAAATGGGGGCATGGAGTGTGAAAGACGTGGGTGTTTACAAGACAGGGTGTGTCTGCATTTGAGCTGCATTGTGGGAAGTTTAGGATCCAGCAATTTGGGAGCTCTCTCGTACAACTGTATGTTAGTATAATGGTATTAATCGATTAATTACCTCTTTAATAACCACCATCCTATCAGTAACTTATCCGCTTTTTATCTAAGTTATTGAGTACTTTACGGTCTATTAACAGTCTCAGAAAACTACACACACTGGGTCAACTTTTAAAATATTAATTCGTAGTGTGTTCAAACAGTGTCTTACTTAAAGCAGAAAATAAATTACTGTAGTTTAAAACTGTTTCTATATGGCGGAGTCCTATGTGTTAATTGATTGATACAGGAAATGTTCAACATTAAAAGCATACAGGTTCTTCCTTATCTGTTCATAGCCGTTGACCTTTGTCCTCTGAATACAAAGTAAAGATTGCCTTTTGCACATAAGGCTCGGCTTCACTAACGGCTGGCTACACACAAAGATGCAAACAAGGACATTTCATGTTCAACTTTATATTACTTTGTTATCTGAATTATAGTCACAATAAATTGTACATAAATAATGTAGTCAAAGAAAAAGCAAGACTGAACCTGATGACTGAAATTAAAACTAAAGAATTGTATAATTTTCTGGTTTGTTTTGTCTGTAAAATTATAAAAGATGCATGTGACAAGCTTTGTAAAGTAAAAAAAGTGGAATTCAAAATTATTTAACTTCAGTTATCATAAAAAAGTTTTACAATTTAATAATTTATTTACAAATTCTTCTATCATTAAAAATTATGTCATGTTGAAATGTGACATCACATTCGGCATTTGTACGACATTTTAATATCATGTTAGGGAGGCGTGTGGCGCAGTGGCCTAATGCGTTGGTGTTCGGATCAGGGTTCATGATGTTCAAACCCCACTGCAGTCAGCACGTCGTTGTTTCCCTGGAGACACTTCACCCCAAATTGCTCCTGTGGGGATTGTCCACAGTATTGAGTATGTAAGTCGCTTTGGATAAAAGTGTCTAACAACTAACATGTAATGTAATGTTATACTCAAATATTTGTGTTTATTTCTCTAGCAATCGGTGGCCACCTACTATTTGAACAATCCGGTTGACATCGCACCGAAGTATGAAGGCCGAGCCTCTCTGGAGGTCAACCAAAAAGTGAGCACACTGCGGTTATCCAAGCTGACCGTGCAGGACAGCCGCAGTTACCAGTGCAGTGTCATGATCCCCAAAGATGACGAGGGAGTAACCGCTGTCACCACTTCCCTTTTGGTCCTGGGTGAGAATTAATCTGACATGATTTAAAGGTCACCTATTGAGCAAAATCCACTTTTTCATGTCTTTTATACATCAACATGTGTCCCTTCTGTGTAAAGAGATTCTGAAAGTTTCAGGAAAAAAAGATTCGCTCACTTTTTGTGCTGATCCATTTATAAAAACCTGTCTGAAAATGAGCTGATCAGATTTTGGCCACTTTATGATGTCATAACGATGTTTTGGTAACCATAGTAACCATTAGCCAATACCGACCAAGGTAACCCCCCCCCACCCCCCCACCTTATCACCTGAATCTCCTCCTAGAGCACCATTGTGTTCTTTCTAACCAAATATCTCTCAGAGGGGCGTGGGGAGGGGCTCCTTATTTTCATCTAAAGTAACAGACAGAGAATCAGCACTTTAGAGACAGGGCTGAAACAGAGGGGATTATGGGATGCTGTAATGATCTGTTTGGTGTTTGGAGCCAAACACTTCAGAGACATGTTTTGTATCTTAGACCTATAATATATTGATGAAAAACAGTATAATAGGGGACCTTTAAATCAATTTTGCTCACAAAGTTCTGCATCATGACGTTTTTATGTTCAATTCTGTCTTATTTTTGTCCAGTCCCTCCGTCTCCACCGATCTGTAAGATTCAGGGAGAAGCATCGTACTTTAACAACATCAGCCTCACCTGCATGTCTGAGGACGGATCACCAAAACCTGCATACGATTGGAAAAGCTTCAGTGTCAAAAGCACTCCCAGACCATTTCCAGCTAAGACGACAGAAAGTATGCAATTTACTATCCATGAGTTATTTTGAAAGCAAATATTTTTGACATGGCTGCTTGAGGGTCAACCGCAATACTCTGCTAGCTGCTTTGGCATTGTTTTTAGATTATAATGTACATTTTGAGCAATAACCTGGTATTCAGGCTTTAATATCATTACTATTTATACACTGCTTTATATTGTAATATACATGTTTTTACATTGTTGTTTTATACTGTAGACTGTGACCGTCTGAAGATTAACTTCTCTATGTTTTATAAATATATTTATATACTTTAGTTTTGACTTTATTACATTTACAATCTTTTTCTTTTCTTTCTTTTTTTAACTTAATTTTCTTTTCTTTGAAAAAAAAAAAATGGAACAACTATTAGAAAATCCCATTACAACTGTGGGTAAATAATTCTGATTCAGATTTTGATTCTGATCAAATCAACATTGTTAAGCCTTATTTTTGTCATTATTTTGCAGAGGTTGGAGTTCTGTCTCTCTTCAATATTTCAATAGACACGTCTGGTTTCTTCATTTGCACATCAACAAATCGAGTTGGTTCTTCCTCCTGCAACTTGACTTTGGCTGTGACGCCTGGTAAGTGTTTTACAAAGATGTACCCTCTGATCTTATCCAGACTTTTTTCATTTTTTTCGCCGGTCAACACGTCCGTTAAAGTTGAAATCTTCCGTACAAAATTAGAAAAGTGCCTGTCCGAGGTCTTCTTTATTATTTATTGAGCTTTATAACAAATTGATAACGACTCTAATAATATAAGAATAATAAACGGAGCATCTCTTTTCCTCCCCCTCTTCTGACAGCCCAGCAGCTGATCTCTGGGCAGGAGAGGTGGGGAGAGGGAGACGTGGGGAAAGGGAGGCGTGGGGAAAGGGAGGCGGGGCTATTTCTTCGTTATCAGAAAATGATCGTATAGAGGCGTACAGACGGATCCGTTTGACCCCCCAGAGCGTTTCGTTTGCAAATCTATCCACCTTGGGACCTGTTATCGTTTGTGGGATCCGTTTCTATCGTTTTGTTACGGCCTCGTGTAAATGAAAGGGCTATAGCCAAGAGAAACTATGCGGATACAACCCGTTTTGTTCTCGTGTAAACGGGGTCTAAGTAGTGTGAACACCTCTTTTCTTTACTTCTTTCTCTTCAGGCAGCATGAACATTGGGTCCACTGCAGGTATAATTGTAGGAGTCCTCGCAGGCGTTGTGTTGCTCGGAATTGTCGCCTATTGTTGCTGCAAGAAAAAGGGCAAAAATGAAGAGTACGCTGAAGGGTAAGTTTGATAAATACTGTGTTTTTCTGCTGCTGTAAACCACACATTTATGTTCGTGTTTTCTTAGTATCAAATGCCTAATTTCTACTGCATGGTTCCGCTTTACTGAATGCAATACTCTGTGTGGAGCAGTACTTCTTTATTTCGTTTTTTTCCACAATGGATATGAACCCCTTGAGTTGAGGAGAGAGTATTTTCTGATAGCTAAAGCTGCGTCAAATTGTTGGGCATCTTTAGTGCACTTTGTCAATTCACTGTACTGCATTGTGTACAGTTGCTTTTGATGGTATCTTTGGCTTTTTCAAAAGTGCGGCTTTGTGACAATGGGTTGCCAAGGGTTCCCTGACATATCAGTTGTCTGTAGTGATTTAACTCCACCATCAACTATCTGCTTTTTAACTTGGAACCTCAATCAAGGTTTTATCAACATCTGGGTAGTTTATTTAGCTCAGCCTTTTCAGCTGATTTACGACGTATTGTATCTTCCCAATGTAGTAGTAGTGGTAGTATTCGTTTATTTGTCCCCGAGGGGAAAATGGGTTGCAGCACATCACAAAGGCATTTAAAATGTAAGTCAAAGTTACACCACGGACTATAACGGGGTGTAGTACCACCGTTTGGCCATTACAACAATTTGATTCAAGTGTCGGCGCTCTTTCAGGAGGCTTCGGTACTATCCACAACTTCGGCTAATGGAAAACCAACTGAGCTGAGTTGGGAATAGCCATGAAGTACAGTTTAGTCCAAATGTAGCATAAGTGATCTTTAAAGATGCTTCGATTAGATTATTCTACCTGGCTTTACCATTTATTTTGTGTATTCTGTTTGTCTGTTAGTTCCCCTGGAGAAGCGGCATATTATGACAAAGACGCTGCCGAAGCTGGAGAGCAGTACTGGGATGACAAGTCAAAGGGTGACATAAAGCAGGTCAAGCAACACGAAGACAAAAACCTTCCTGAGAGATCCTCCTCAAACAAGTTAGAGGAGGATCAACAGAGTTATTATAGCAGTCAAGAAAAGCATGCGGGCAAGGGAAGTGATGTCGACTCTCAGCGTTACCAGGAGTACCCGCAGGATCGCCATCTTGGAAGTCGAGACCGCCTTGATGATGAGCGTAATCGTTACGATGGCCGTCCTGATCGTCTTGAAGATGAACGTAGTAGTCATTACAGTGGGAGCGTTGATCGGCAAGACGACAGGCGTGATCGTTCTGGTGATCAACGTGATCGTTCTGGTGGAAGTCGGGATCGCCTTGATGAACATCGCGATCGTTACAGAGGCAGTCAGGACCGACTTGAGGAAAATCGCGATCGTTCCGTCGGTAGTAGGGATCGCCTTGATGAAAATCGCGATCGTTCCGTCGGTAGTAGGGATCGCCTTGATGAAAATCGCGATCGTCACGGAGGCAGTCGTGATCGCCTTGATGAAAATCGCGATCGTCACGGAGGCAGTCGTGATCGTCTTGATGACCGATACGATCGTCATGGTGGAAGTCGCGATCGCCTTGATTACACCGATGATCAAAACAGAAACCGGCATTAATAACAATGTGTTACTGAATATTCTTTTAATGCACTAAAAAAAAATGTTTGGTTGATGCACTCTTTTATTGGGTTAATTGATTGGCTTAGTGCTTGGTCTCGTCATAAAGACACAGCTACTGTACATTGCATTCTTGCAAAAACCATAAAAGTTTGTGACGTTTGTACTCAAATAGCATTGGTAAAAGTCCACATTCAAATAATGGCTTGTCCCTAAAATAAGGCTTTGATTTGACAAGAAATATGCAAATAAAAGAGATGTGGATGGATGGATGGATGGATGGATGGATGGGTGGGGTTGGGGGCATTGCTCATTATGAGAAATGCGAATGAAACCAAAATGGCCAGACTCTCGAATCTACCGGATCCGTGGGGTGTTTTCCCTAAACCCTGCCTCCAATCCACAGCGTTACGGACGGTCTTGGCTCAGTCAATATAAGGTGAAATAACTCTATCGTATTGGATAGATGATTTAGCTAAAAAAAAAAAATATCCGTTGATTCAAAGATGCCTCTTTTCCATTGAAAGTCGATGGTAAAATGTATTTTCATAGACAGACTTACAGAGAAGTTGTAGTATTTACTTAATAGTAATACTATTACAGAGTCCCCAACAAAAGAAAACCATGCATTTGTGTTTAAAATATTCTTTTAAGTCTTTAGGTTGTTCAACCATGCATGGCATCCATTACACAGTTGCATTTGATCACCAGTGACAGTAAAGTGGTTATACGGTGGAAAATAAGTGTTGTTGCCGTGTTTACCTAAAGCTCCCAAGGTGGCAACATTTTGAACTCAAAGTAAATTTGCTATATTTGAGATGATGAAAAACAATTTTAATGTACTCCTACTTCAGTAGTGTTGTTAGTAATTGTTTCAGGCTGCCAATTATAGTGTGTACATTATTTAGTCTGATTAACCTGTAATGTATGATTAAAAACTGGCTGATTTAGTGCCTCAGTTGCACGGATACATATGTGTGAAAAACTTCTTTATAATCTGCAGTGTATTGTATTGCATTTTTTTATTGTGAGTTTATTGAAATTAATTTCACTTCAAGCGACAATTTGTGTTTTACCTTTTTATTATTTTTACCGTTATGTTTGTATGTGTAAATGTTGGATGTAAAAAACTTTTTTTTCTCATGAAGATAAATCAAATGGAGTTTAATAAAGAAAGTGGGTCAAATGTTTCGGTTTTTTTGTGTGCAGTAAAAATTCTGAAATCTCACAGCAAAGTTTGACCTGATTTACTCATGGAGCTGCCACCCCTCCTTCCTCCACCTCCACACCGGTCAGACCTCACCACCCTGCCCGGTAGGCACTACGGCTACACCCGTTGGAGAAAACAAAAATTTGATTCCATAATAAATATAAACTTAAGAAACAATATAGTTTACATATGTGGTGTATAAAATAAAAGCAGAGGAGTAGTCAGTATTTTAGATGAGTTTAGTGTTTGGACTCACCTCTGCATGAAGTGGTACAGTCCCGTTAGTCTCAGTCCGTGAGTCCTGTTTACTGCTGCAGTTAGCGGACAACCTGAATCACCAACATGCGGATAAACTGCACTTTAAAATAACACGGACTGTATAATGAACTTTTACCGGCTTGCTTTTTTACTGGGAGCCCTGGGTAAGTCTAATTTCCTTCACTTTGATATGTATCCTTCTCTAAAAATGTGTTTTCACTACGACGACCGAGCAACAGGTTGATCCTAAAGCAAGGGTGTTACTTATCCCAGGCACCCATTGGACTTAGTAAAGCGGCTTTTTCATGATTTATATCCCATTTCTGTAATTCAATTTGACAAATACAACATTATAAACATGTTTTGCACCATTTCTAACGGTTTAATAACATGTGAGGGGGTTTATGTGCCAGCCCTTATAATCCCCTTGGGATGTGTAATGTCTGGTAATGGTGTTAAATATAGCTGTTTTTACTTTATAATTTACTTTATACTCTCACATGTGTAAATGATATTCCCTAGGGGCTTATGGTTTGCTTTTACAAGCCTATGTGTATTGTGTAAACTATGCCATTACAAAAAACCATGTAAAACCATGATTGTACATTTTAAAGCACATTGTTTGTTTAATGATAAAGCTGTACTTTAAAATAGCAATATACCAAGAGCTACAAGGATAAGTTGATTATTAGATGGACGATAGAAAAATAATTAGCAAATGTCTGATAATTAATGTAGCTTTAGTCAAATATCAAGCAAAATGTCATCCATGCCCTGGTCTTTGGCTCTCAAATGTGATGATCCAGTGCTTTTCTTATATATAATCATGTTTTTCTTATAATAGTAAAATGCTGATGATGATTTGAATATGTTGTTAATTAAGTAGTTATTTTAAATTAATAATCTTTTTAGGGTTTTGGAATGTAGAACAGGGAATTAACCAATTTCAAGTCTATGATTGGTAGATTAATCAAAACATGAAAATACACTTTATCTGCAGCTCTATAAAAGTTCAATTTGAGACCCTAAAGTGCACACCAGGTCTAAAGAAGACTAAAAGGGCACCTGTGGGCAGAACAGTCCTATGAAAATATATTAAAATCCATAATCAAACATGGAGGAGACTATATCGAGTCTTATCAGGTTTTTTTGTTGTTGTTCTAATTAGTCAATGTGAAGGAATGTGCAACGCAGTAAGAGCAGGAAATGTGACAGCTCTGGAGAGGAAAGGTCTGACTGTGTTCAGGAAACGGCAGCAGAGCTATGACCTGGAGTGTTTTCATGACCACACACTGTTCAAAAGGGGAGTCTAATGTTGAAATGAGGTCCTTAGTCAGTATGCAGGTGGAGGAGGAGACGGTCTGATACCTGCTCATTAACCTACAGTGAGTCACACCTGATGCAACAAACTCCATGCAAACAATAGTTAACAGTTTGAGACTCAAACCTCCTCTCACCTCAGACTGATGGCATGCTCTGAGTAACGGTTTGGTTCAAATCTCTCAAAGTTAATTGGTCTGTTCACAGCCAGCTGGAGGAGGACAGATACTCCCATTGGTCGGGAGTCTCTGACCTCCTCCCCCTCCTAAACTCCTCAAGTGGGCCAGAAAGGGGGGGATTTTCATCAAAGCCCTAACAATGGACTGGTCCATGAAAAAAAGAAACAAAGGGAAGACCAGAGCTCTCCCGTGGGAGGAATTTAAGAGTTTGGTCACCCCTCCTCTAGTTCTTTTAGCCTGTAAACCCCTCTTGCTCCATCACCACCATCATCATACTAAAGATAACGTGTAGTTATTATCATGGGGAGAGGAAACCTGATGATGCTCATCTGGCCAGTCTCAAGATGTCATCAAAATCACTTGATTTATTGGGGTTTTAGTTCATGAAGAAAGAATACTACTTTAATGAAACTAACCAAAGTTCATGGTTGTTATTTTAGTCATTTTCAAGCAGAAATTAAAAAATGTTTTGGTTCAATCATTCCTAATGTCATGATTCCTAATGTCATGATTCAAGATTCAAATGTTTATTGTCATAACAATGGTTAAATGCCTTTTATGTAATTATATCTATTTGTGTAACCGGCGTACGATTATCAGTCCATTAAATGGCTGTCATCCGAGGTTACCCAAAGATATGGTACAACAAGTACGTTATAAGAACATGGAGGCTCACCAATATAAATAAAAGAAGGCAGGACTTAAACCCTGGAAACTGGAGTTTGTGTCCGGTCTGAAACCAGAAGTCAATCCTTAGGTAATTTAAACTAACATAAGCACAGTTAAGTAATATACATAGCTTTGACGGCCAAAACTAATGTAACTTAAAGTAAAACTTAACATAACTGCCACCATTTTATGACATTGGATAGGCATCTTCTGGCCTTATATAGAGGGTGCAGGTCGCCCCATCTGAAGAATACGAGTGGAAGTGAAAAGAACTGATAACAGGCATTTAATTACCTGATAACATCTGAAACTGGGGATTGTAAGCAGAAAATCTACAAGATTGGAACTGTTAATTCCACTTTTCCCATGATTTCATAGACATAACATTACTTATTAAACATGATTAAAACAACTTTTAGTCCTGGATATATGTAGACATGCTCAAAGTAGAAAGAGACTAGAAAGAAAAACGTCCGTTTGAGATAAAAGCGATAAACGGTCCCAAGGAGAGTTAGGCTGGTGGACATGTTTTGTTTGGATTTCCTGTGTTTCTGGGAAATGTTTACAGTGAGTTCCTGCCCCACCTAGAGCTAATAAGAGTAGGAGAAAGCACCCACGAGTGTCCGACCTCTCCATCCCCTCCCTCTGTGATGACAACCCCCTGCCTCTCCACAGACCCCCACACTCACAGGAATTTGACCTTCCTGACCCTGAGCACCAGAGGAGCCCCCCCCCTCCACACACACATAATATCTGCTCCTGGTTAATATGAATATCTCCCAGTGAATCATACACACAGACAAAGAGGACAAAGAGGAGGCACAGCTGTTTCCAATGTGACCAAGTTGTCTTCCTGTCTTTAAACTGTTTTTCTACAGAAACTAGAGGTGCATTTGATTCAGGAATAAGTTGATCAACGAAACATTTATTGATAACTATTTAAATTTTAAAGCAACATTTCCAGCTTCTTAATTTTACATGTTGCTACTGCTGCTTGCTGTTTGTCTTGATTAATAATAAACTGATTATTTTTTTATTTCTTTGTGGGACACCTATCTTTCAAAAATGATACTGAGCAGTTGTCTATTTTTCTTGACCTTTATAGACCAGACCATTAATTCAATATATAAGAAACAACTATAAATAAACTGCCCTTATTAAAGCACAACTCAACCTCTTACAACCTCTCCATTATGTTGTAAGCAAAAGCGAAAATGTCTATCATAACAACATGACATCATGATTTGTTGCAGGGTTACTGTATTATAGGCTGCTGCATTAGTTTAGGTACATTTAACTTATAAACTCAGTCATGTTTGAATTGACAAGAACTTAAATGTCTGCCTCTCAAATTTGAGGATGGGCTTGTTACCTCTGTTTTGTATCATTATATACTTAAGCAATAGCTCACGACAGGCCGTGGTATATGCTCATTATATCACAGCTAAGATTACTTTTCAGCCCAACGGTATACTTTTTTTGCTCAGACGCGGAGGGATACTGACTTGTTGTGAAAAGTAACTTACAATTCTACCCGTGGTATATCACGGCTAAGAACCAATCAGATTGCTTGATTTGACTTGTCCGTTTTATAATCAATATTTTGCGTTTGGGGCTGTTATTTGTGTCTCTCTTTTGATTGTCATACTGGGAGAGATAACTACAGTTATCTCTCCCAGTATGACAATCAAAAGAGAGACACAAATAACAGCCCCAAACGCAAAATATTGATTATAAAACGGACAAGTCAAATCAAGCAATCTGANTTTTTGTAGCGTGTCACACAATAGCAAACAGGCCCGGCCTCAGCCTCTCAGCGACTTTGTTTGTTTCCTGCTGTCGCTATAACACATTGGTATATATATTTTAATAATTATTATTGTATTTAAATAAACCTGCTGCTGCATCCATTAACTTTATAAATCAAAAGTCAGAAGGGTTATAGGAAATAAAGGTGTGCAAAAGTCAATAAGTGAATTTACAAATAGGTTAACAAATATCTAAATGTCTAAATATTTAGACAAATATATCAAAGTTAACATTAATATACTTAATATTTCATTTATTTTGTGATTTTTAATCGTATTTATAGTGACAATTTCACATTCATTTACATATTTTTTATTTAGTTTTGACCCTTAAAAAACCTCCTTGATAAACACACGCACAGACTAAGGGTTAATTAATCCTACCTTCTGTCGAGCTCGTCGTCTGAGAGGTTGCGTCGGTCTCGTCTCATCCTGCGGTTGTGTGTGTGTGTGTGTGCAGGCGCTCTCAGCGACTGGTCGTCCAGGTCAGCGATGGGCGGCAGCGCCTTCATCTGCACCGTCTGGTAGGTGTGTCTGAAGTCTGACGTGCCTCCGTCGTGAAGAGAGCTCAGCTCCGAGAGGCTGCTGGCTGCAGGGAGAGGGACGGCAGTGGAGAAATAATATGCCTCACCTTTCACATTTCAGCTGGAGGTTATAATCATGAGCACTGATTACAGCTGACTGCAAATGACTGAGGAAGTACCAACCTAAAACTACTGTCACAAACAATTTAGAGGATTTCTTTTAACTACTCTGTTTTCAGCAAATTATATCATGGTAACAACAACACATAACATGAGGGAGCCAAAATAAAATAGCTTATTTTAATAGTGTTATTGACCTCAATTGATTGAACTATTGAAAACACATTCATATTTCTCCTATGCAATTAACATGGAAAGTCTGCAATACATTTACTTTATACTCCTTTTACTAACTTTTACTAAAAAATAAACATGAAACATTGACTCTTCCCGATCTAATATGTTAATTGTAAAATAACCACCAGTTTTCGTCAATTAATTTGGCAATGTAAAATCACAAAAATATTGTACCGATCCTGTATTGCTGATAATCACAGGGACTTTACAAATGTAGAGGCTAAGCTAACGCTTTATGAAACGGAGGTGCCGCTTTGTTTACGTAATAGACGCACACTTTAGCTTATAAACAGTCTGATACAAATTGTTTCCAAATTGTTGAACACGCAGTCCATTTCTTTGTCAGTTCGTGTTTTCCATTAAACTTGCATCGTATTTCCAATATCATACAAAAATGACCCTTGACTCAGTAAGGGTAGTTAGATGTTATGAAATGAATGTAATTATTAGATGAAAACTAGCACTGGTTAATTCACACACATATCATGCACATAAAAACACAAACACATGAACACATGTCACACAGCCACACAGAGGACACACACTGGTCTAATCTGTGCAGCCTTACGTTTGTGTGCAGCCATCTTTGCGGAGGGAAACTGACCCAGCTCCTTCTCTACGTAGTACAAAACTTTCATTGAGTCCTGGTGTGGACTGGCTTTCAGTCGATAACCACTGCGCGCTGCGAATGGGACACACACACACACACACACACACACACACACACACACACACACACACACACACACACACACACACACACATACACACACACACACACATGCAAACACAAGGACATACCCATGCAGGGACAGACACATTTCCACATAAGTGTCCAAAACACAAACCAGACGTGAATATATTAAAGGGACGGTTCATCCTAGAATCAAATCATGACCTGGCTTCTCAAGATTATCCACACTTCTTGTTGTGATCATTTTCATGTAGGAACTATTTTCTTTCAACAGAACAACATCTGCTAATGAATTGAATGAGTATTTGCCCATTTGCACGTTGATACGGTTGGTGGGTGTAGTGTGGTAACAAGAAAGTAGTTCCTACATGAAACTACTTACAACAAGGTCTGTTGATTATATTTAGTAGCCAGGTTTTCAATTTTGAGGTGAACTGTCCCTACAAACAATTATTTAAACAACAAACATGCAGACATTTCTGTAACACGTACATCTTGTATGGAGGTTAGAGACAGACTCGAGGATGAATGATGATGAAATGAAGGTTAGTGAAGTCAGTGTAACAGTAATACATTGGGACAGAGCTTCCTAGTATCTCTAAAAAAACACTCACCTCCAGCCAGGTTATTCTCCACTGAGGGGACGGAGGCCATCTGTGGCTCCACATGGGATGGAGGGGCAAGAGGAACCACAGTAGGAACACCAGGGATGTAGTAAGGATACACAGGAACCTGAGGAGGAGGAGGTCCACTCTTTGCCATCTTCCCTGCTTCATATACTGCAGAGGCGGACAACAAAACAATAAACTCATGCATTAGCTTTCTTTACTGCTCCAAAGTTCAAACTAGTGCAGGACGAAGGTGCTCTTTAGTAGGGAACACAATGTTTACAAAAAAGGAGAAGGTTATCAGACATAAAGTTAAAAAGAAACTTTGATTAGAGGGATTTTTAAATGTCTTAACATGCCCGAACATGTTCAAATAGATCTGGATTGGACTACAAACATAATTATAAAGGCTGATTGTGTTTAGTATCAGCAACAAGGATCGTTTTAGTTTCGGTTTGTCCGAAGGATTATAGAAAAATGTTTTGCCTGATTGGGGCGGCTTTGTCTCAGGAGGTTAAGTGGTGGTGCACCTTTCTGAGGAATGGTGGTTCAATCCAGCAACTTGTCCCTAAATTCAATGGCTAAAGTTGTGAGTGCCTGTGGATGTTGAGCTCTTTAGATGAGCAGGTAGCCTTTGTGTGAATGTGTGAAGGCGCAGACTGAAAACTCATCTCTTTCGACTCCACTTCGAGCGATAGAAGTACTATCAAAGCACTTGTATACTAACAAAGGACTGGCTTATCCAAAGCTAGTTGAGTAGCACTTGAAATGTTTTGGCTCTATGAAACCTGATGTACTTTGTCTTCTTGGTCCAATGTACTTATTGTAAGTCGCTTTGGATAAAAGTGTCAGCTAAATGCAATGTAATGTCTTGTGTCTTAAAGGGGTTGTAAAGACAAGAAAAGCACGAAACTAAAACAACTAAACATGGGTATAACATGGGCCAAGGAAAAAGCCAAAACATTTTAAACTGATTGTAATCATGGATCAGATACACTCGTCTTTTTTCATTTTTGTTTAAAGTGTATGCGTGCCCCGTGGTGGAGGTCAATGCCCTTTGTGTACCCTTTAAGATTGCTGGTGTAATAGTTGGTGTTACTCACGGTGTCGTGGACAGCAGCAGGTTTCAGGGCAGCAGCAGCAGCTGACGTAGCAGCAGCAGGAGTGAGGACAACACTGGCACCAGCAGATCCCCATCAACAAGAGGAACAAGACACTGCCCAGGACTACAGATCCCACAAACACCCACTCTGGAAAACAGACACACAAAGGTATTACCTCTTCTTCATTTGTATAAGGCAGTGGTTCCCAACCTTTTTTCCCAAGAGCCCCCCCAAATGACTCCTGTTGGAAGGGCATGGACAATGACTATGTTTTAAAAATGAGCTTATCCAGCAAAGCCTGGTCTGGACACTTTACGGGCAGAAGAATTTTTTTTATCAAAGAAAAAATTATACATTTTTGAATTTTAAATTTTTATGCCTTTAATAGCTACTAACTTGAATTTTTATTCAAATGAATTAATCAATTATTTTTTAAATTTTATTGTAATGAAGAGACAAGGCTTTTAGTGACAATCATGTATTGAGTTACAATTATATGTAAAAAACTTAATTAAAAAAAAGTCTAAATATGATAATTGGCCTCAAATCATCTGAGGCCTGGCGCCCCCCCCTGCGATCTTTGGCGCCCCCCCAGGTTGGGAACCACTGGTATAAGGGTTGGGAGGATTCTGACTTCATTATTGCAATAATAAGTTACGAGAATGTGATATTTTGGCCCTTCGTTCGTTCACTTTTGCTTGTAATGGTAGGAAAAAAATGTAAAGCTACAAGGAACAGCCAAAAGTCTTGTTAATGTTTCTCTCTCATCTTTAATGAAACCACAGAGGAAGAAAGGGAGAGGAAACTAAAAAAGGAAACTATAGGAAGACTGGAGGGAGCTTTGCATTTCTCTTATCCATCATCACATCTTGAAAGCATCCCGACCCTAACAACACATTTCCTCAGGGTGTGCCCAAAAGCAAAATCCACTCAAAACCCCTCGCTAAGTCAACACATATTCCCTGTGGAGTTTAAACCGTGACCAGAGGAAACAGATCAAAGCTGTGAGTCTGTGAATATTTCTTATTGTAGCTTCAATGACTAATCGTGGGAAATGTCAGGTTAGAGGCTTCTTTCTGTGCATTTTCCAACAAGTGCTCGCATACATAAAATGTGTTGGTGGAAAAGAGTTCTGGTTGTTGAGTGAGAAATAAACATGAGGAAGCTTTAGAGAAGCTAGAAGATGCCATGCAGAGAGACAAAAGTGCAGGTGAGGTGCCGTACCTGGCATAATCTCCACATCAAACTCAGGTAGGATATCGTCCTTCTGACCTGTCCTGCCTGCAGAGAGAGGGAGAGCACAGGTGAAGGCCGGCAGAGGAAGCAGAAAGCAGTGAGAATCAAAAGGTCAGCAGGGCGGATGACTAACGGTCACGCACTGATAAGGAAACTGTAGGGAGAAACTTTTTTAATCAAGTTTTGTATCTGACATGTTGCTATGACGATGAATAACGACACGCTAACTTAGCAACTGGAGAGACGGTAATGTTGGTTGTTATGTGAATATATCAACGATGGACTATCATTCATTTGCAGATATTTAAGGTCCCCAGAGGAGAGAGGCTTCTTAAATTGGTGAATGATATTGATACAGCCTTAAAGAGGACCTAGTGTGGCTTTAGACTTTTAGTCTTCTTATCACATGAATGGGCAGAGTTCATGCTAAAAGAAATGTGATGCCAAAGAATGACTTAGTATGTCTATAAAAACATGAAACTATAAAAATAAATCAAGTCAGAGGTTAAAACGCACTTTACTTTGTATCCTATCTTTAGCAATAGGCCAGCAGTGCTATCATTTCTATATTGATGTGCACACCACACATGAGCCTCTTTTGTGGCGTTAAAACAGCGCACAGACAGAGTAATTGGTACCACTTTACAATAAGACTAGCCTTATAAAGAGTTTACGAATAGTTTGTTATTCATTTATTTATTAGGTTGTGAACACTTTATAAATCATTAATAAGCTTTTATAAGACATGAGATAAACAGGGCAACTGTGACCGGTTGCTTGCCAAATAGTGAGCCCACATGTATCTGTACTGCTAAGCCTTATTGGCTACCTAGCTTACTTCATCATCAGCCAGCATCCTTGGTATCTGTTGCTCACTGAGTTGATTCTCGCTAAGTAGCCAATGTAAGGCTTAGTCCTCTTGCCAAATAGTGAGCCCGTGTTGATGTTGGTGTGTCTATGTTAGAACTAGAGATGTCCCGATCCGATCACGTGATCGGGGATCGGAGCCGATCACGTGATTTTCAGAAGATCGGAATCGGGAGAAAAAAATCGGGGATCGGGATTATTTTTTCTTTAAATACTTTTTATTTATTTATTTTTATTCAATGTTACAAAACAAAAATGACCATGTTCAAGTCTTAAAGTCATCCTGAGGCCTTAGTTTTGGTTTCAAATGACAGAACATCATGTATGTGTTGTTTCTTTGGGGCTTGTTTTCATAGACCTGGTTGCTTATTTCTCTCAAATATGGCAACAGAGTGGGCAGGGCGCAGTGTCTAATTGTAGCAGTAAGCTAACGAGTACTGATAAGCTTTATTATGTTTTGATCCAATGCTGCACAACTGAACTGATCCAATGCTGCTGTGAAAAAAAGAAGCTATATCCATGTTGGATAGAATATCCAATTTAAATAAAAATTAACCTTAAGGGACAACTTGAATGCTTTTTTTCTTTTCTTTTTCTTAATACATTGCATAAAGATCGGATCGGGAAAGATCGGTATCGGCAAATTGTCAAAATCAAATGATCGGAATCGGATAGGGAGCAAAAAAAGGTGATCGGGACATCCCTAGTTAGAACTGGTTTATAAATGGTTCTTAATGATTAATAAAGTGTTTACAACCTAATTCATAACCTAATTTAAAAACCCTTTATAAACCCTTTATAAGGGTAGTCTTATTGTAAAGTGGTACCGAGTAATCTATACACATGCAATATGCATCCATATGTGCCATTAGAGGCGGTGTGTGAGGATAAATTGGGTTTATTTGTAAACTGGGGCACATATCGATTCTGGGACAACAAATTACCGTGGAGGTTTGTGCTTCATATAGAAAACAGGTCAAAAGAGGCAGTTTGAAATACTGTAACATATAGAAAAGTAAAGGGACAGTATAGAGTGCAGAGGCTGCAAAACAACTGCAGGTGTTCACGTTTCTAATGTGTGTTTATGCCGAGGTGTCAAAGGACTATAATTACATTAAAGACCAGTCACTGTCTGAGGAGGGATAGACTTAAGCTCGCACTGGCTGCAGAAAGTGCTGAGTAGACTGTTACCATGGAGGGGGAAAGCAGTGTACCCTCCCAACCTGATAAAAAGTCATCTGGGTTCCCTGCTGGGACACTGATCTACATACCATGAAGCTCAGTATCACTGAGTAACCTGAGAGAGCCGAGGAGCTATGCAGCCCGAAGAAGGAGGGAGGCAGTGAAAGATGCAGGAATGAGTCACAGAGGAGCAAGATTTTGCAAGAATAAAAAGGGAGAGCCAAGGGAGTGAAAATCAATCCAAAAGAAAAAATAAACTGGAGAAGAGAGAGATGGTGGGAGAATAAACATATATTCTTGTTGCTTAATATTATATTTTGGGAAATATATTTGGATTTCTTGCTGAAAGTAAGGTGAACAGATTGACACCACGACTGTCTGTAGGCCTACGGTAAATATGGAGCTGTTAGCTTAGCCTAGCATAAAGACTGTAAGCAGGGAGTAACTACTAGCCAACATGTCTTTTTTTTTCATCCATAAAAATCACACGTTTAAAATCAACGATTCTAACAAAACAAGATAAAGTAGGCAAATCGTTAAGCTGGTATTTTGTTACGTTAAAATGTAACCAAGCTAGGTGTTTCCAAGACATATAGGTTATCTCTTTATATAAACTAACATTCTAAGTGATTATTTGTAAGGGCAATTTTTTTGGCTCAAAAGTAGGAAGAGAGATTTGTTTAAATGCAGTTTGAATGTTAAAAATACACTCAGCCAATGTGGAGGTATCAACGTCAAAGGTCATGAGAACTAACTTGCAAATGTGAGGGCGTATCGACAAACACAACACCAGTTTGCTATCAAATGTGGCTGGTTTCAACATTTTGATCAATAGAAACATACATTTAACATTTGATGTAGGGGAAAACATTGCTGAGAAGTAAGAACACGTGTGAAAATCTTTCCTTAATGTGTTTTATCAAGAGGATATTGAGCTGGGAAGAATATGTATGCTTCTATTCCAGTCTTTATTGCTAAACTACGCTAGGCTAACCTAAGCTAAGCTAACCACCTGCTGTGAGTATTGACAATGAACAATAATAGTTGTAATTGAAGCTATGAGAGTGGAATCAATCTTCTTATCTAACTGTTGGCAACAAAGCAAAACATTAATATTTCACAAAATGTAAAACTAATTATTTTAATTTTGATGCATTAAACTTGATCTCAAAACGGATTAAATGTGAAATAATAGGTTTTAACACACTTTTATCAATCCAGCTACACCATTGTCACCATGGTGAAGCTAAAAAGAAAACTCAGTGTAGTCTTGTTATTCTCACACATTTAAACCCCCCCTCTTCTCTCCTGTGAGCTGATTATAATCAGATTAGCGCTCAACGGAGCAGCATTTTATGAATGAGCAGACGCTAATGCTACATGCAACACCATGAGTATTAAACAATGTTATAAAGAGAGAGAACTATTTTTGGATAATTGTTTTGAGGGTTTAAGGATAATTTATTGTCATTAGTTAATATTTTTCCTAGGTCTCCCTCTTCATGTCTACACCAGCAGCACTCAGCAGTCTCCTCTGTAAAAAAGCACGTTGCCACGGTAACGGCTTAAGGAGTGGTTTTGACAACAATGGTGTCCACAGTTTCTTTGACTGAGAGGACATTAGAGTCTCATTCAAGGAAAACGGGGAATCTCTGACCCTTTGGCAGTAAAACACTTGCTGCTTCATTGATCATTCAAACAAATTCAAAATTACAGTCCGACAGAAAAACCGTTGGACATGTGATGCTATACAGTACTTTTTGAATCTTAAGAATATAAACCCTAAATGTGTTCCTGATAAATGTACCTTTAGGAAAAAAATGTTTATGAATGTAAACAATTTTTCTTTTGCGAGTGAATTTACTTTTGAGATTTTATTGCTTATGTTAAAATACATAATTGTTTAATATTATTTTAATAGAAATATGTCAATTTTTTTAGAATCAATTGTTTTACATTTACTAATGTAACATATTGATGTGCAATTCTCAAGTAGTTTAATTTTATATTTTCATTTTAAGGTTATCAGGGAATGTATGAAACTACTTTTACTTCTTCTGCTACATTTTAGTCAAATATTATACTTTTACCAACTATTATTTGAAAACGTATAAACAAGTAAATGATGGTTTATTAATATATGTAAAGCTACCCAGCAGTATCATATTATTTTATACGATTTTGTTAGTCAAATTAATGTTAGCTTTTTACTTCTGACAATTGTATTCATGTTTTAAAAAACACAAAAGTTGTCTCCATTGTTAAAGAAGATAATCTTGCCAAACAAAACATTTTAGGCATCATAAACTTCAGACTGCAACAGAGCTTATTTTTCTGCAAAAGTCCACGAGAAAAATCTATAACTTTTTGGGTTGTCCTGCAGAAACAAGCACCAGTGCAGTAGCACCCTGTTGCTACTTTGACACAAGTTAAAGTCCTCTCCTACCACTGACTGTAGTGCTAAATCAAGTAACGAGCCAAACACCATGTGGCCGTCTCCATGGAAACTGTTGTAAAGAAAAATCGGAATGCAGGGCAACAAAGAGATCTCTAAAAACTCACATAGAGAAAGAAACTCCACTGAGCTTAAAATGAAAACATTAGATCATTTAAAAGAAAACTCTTCCCAAGCCGATCATAATCAGGCATCAGGAGTTGACTTGATACAAAATGAAGTGCAGGCATACCAAGCACCAGTAGCTCCAGCTGGGCCTCATTCTTCCCCTCCAGATCATCAGCAATGACGACTTTACAGTAGTAAACTCCACTGTCGCCCCACTGCAGCTCCCCGATACGCAGGTCTGCTTCTGCACGGAGACAAGAGGAAGGTTTGATGTAATAAGTAAAAGGTGAGAGCATTTTCACAAAGCAAGTCAAACAAATGACATTTATCACTTTGTTAAACAGTTGCAGGCACAGCACACATTGATGCCTGTGTTATACAATACAAATACATGTGAAAAACAAAAACAAATGCCATGTAGTGGCTATATATTATTATTATCAGCATGCCACTGAACATTTATTTAATTACTTTGTTAAATGACAACAGGAGGGTTTCATAAACATGTGGTATGTCCCATTGACACATTTGGATAGGAGGCGGGTGTTTTGTCTTGATAAGGCTTGTGTGTGTGTGTGTGTGTGTGTGTGTGTGTGTGTGTGTGTGTGTGTGTGTGTGTGTTACTCTTTTGTGAAACAAAGACAAAGGAGGTTTATTTAGAGAACAGGAAACACAAAGCACAGTCAGCTCTGACTCCTGAGTGCAGGAATCAAACATCTGCAGCAACTCTTTCTCGTTAAATCTGGGGTAGTAAGCTTGTTTGTTGGGCGTGTCTTTAGACAAACATTCTCTATTAACATGTCAGCACATTGTAATTAATGTGCTCTGAGAACAAATTAAACTACTATATCTGCTCTTGGTTTGTTTTTAGGCCTTAGAAAATCTAACTCTTGATGGGAAACTTTGTCTAAGCACCAGGCGTTTCAGAGAGAGGATGTTCCTATTGGCTGTTCAACAAAAACAGATGGATTTTCACACCCCTTCAGATAAGGAAAGCTTGGTACAATGTAGAATATCCTGCAGAAAAAGTTGCTTTCCCAGCATTGGGAACACTACACTGCAGAGCAACCCTAAAAAGACAGAGAAAATATTTCTCATACGGAAGATTAGCTTGCTTCTAATGTAGGCAAACTCTCTGCTGCTATGTAGCTAGCTATAGAGCCAGTTACATCACAGTATGTTAGCTCAAAGGGCTTTGAGGACTTTGATGTTGACAGGCAGTAATTCTCATAGATGTACAGTACCAAAGCTGAATCCTTGCTACCGGTTTAAATCAAACTTACTGCCTTTGCTTCATGTTGCACCCTCCCTCAACTCCTCTCAAATCTATCTGAAGAAAAGGCCCGAAAAATATTTTAAAAGAAAAAAGAATTGGCACTATGTTTTGAATCTGGATCACAACCACCAAAATGAATAACCTACTACTCGATTCTACAGAAAACTGGCTTGTCTTCAGAGATGGGAATTAGTGTAGTGCAAATACTTCGTTACTTTACTTAAGTACATGTTTCTGGTGTCAGTACTTTACTCCACTACTTATTTTTCTGACGACTTTTTACATTTACTTCTTACATTTTAAACATAAATACCTGTACTTTCTAATTCTAACACTTTCCAAACAGGCTGGTTCCTTTAGTTTGAATGTGTGTTTGGTGGCGTGATCATTATTATTTAGAGTCATTGCGTGCCTATTGATTTGAACACGATCCGTGTATCCATCATTTCCTGGTTTTCTCTAAAGAAGAGGGACCAATGAAGACGTTGTCATGTTGCTGTTGTTCAGCATGGAAACATTCATTAGCTAACAATGACATTATTGTTCTATTAATATAAAGGGAGGTCAGGTACTCTTTAAAACAGCTGGTAGTTATAGGTACTTTTTACTTAAGTACATTTCGAAGCCCATACTTCTTTACTTTTACTTGAGTGAAGAAGTTTAGTCAGTACTTCTACTTTTACCAGAGTATTTTTAAACACGAGTATCTGTACTTCTACTTGAGTAAAGGATGTGTGTACTTTTGCCATCTCTGCCTATCTTTAATGAACAACTTTAGGATACAAATGAAGACATTACTGTTAACGATGGCGATGTCTCTGCCTTTGTAGTGTTCAGCCAGCGTCATGGAGGCCCCCTGCGCCGAGGCCACGACCCGGACTGTGCGCCCGCTGTCACGTACAGTGTCTAAGCCCGCTTCGTCGAAAAGCGCGTACGAGAAGGTCAGGCACCAGGAGGGGACAGTCATGGTCTGCCGGAAGGTTGGTCGTGCGGGCACCACGTCACCACCATGTTCAGCATGACGTCCCTGTTGGTCTCTCAGGAAGTGGCGACGGCCCTTCGACCCGCAGGTCCCGAGGCTCGAGCCGGGGAGAGGGTGGAGC